TATACATGAATAAATGTGCATATGCATGTATACGCAAAGTATATTTTTTGTGCAGCATTATCGTGTATCTTCTACAATTACTGTCTTATACATACATACATGTATGACACTCCCCTCTTGCAAGGCCAAGATCTAACAGCCAAAGATGACAAAAAAGCCCAGGGGTTATGATTTCAGTGGAAGAGAACTGGTGAATGCTTAGAATACTGTTGATGTAGCAGTTTGCAAAAGTGGGTTACTCCCAATATACACCAGTACTGTTTCACTGTTTACGCTTTGTGTACCAATGAGGTCTGTACCTTCTAAATATGCTACATATATATATCTGTATACACACATGTATGTGAGTACGTATATATACATATGTATATAAAACTATATACATCGTTCTCCTGACATCATGGCAGCAATTTTCCTTCTTCCATGCTGTTTCTTTTATTCTCTTAATCCTCCAGCAAAAACATGACAAAAGTATGTTCTGATATTTCTAATGAGAAAATAACGTAGTTAACTTGTAAAACAAAACTTGGGAGTTATTTTTGTCTGTTGGGGAAAGGTAAACTTGTGCTGATGTTTTTGTTTGTTTGTTTTTTGTTTTGTTTTTTAATCAACTTACACATTGTGGAAATCGTACCTTTATAGAAATGAATGTAGCTGCTAAAGAAGTAAATGCAGATCTAGATCTCCTGTGTTCAGATGAATTTAGACCTGATCATATTAGCAAACAAGCATGCAATCCCAAGTTTCCTCCTGCAAAAGTGAGTGGAAGGAGGAAAAAGAGAAAAGAATAAATATTATTCTTTACAGGAATAAGAGTGGTTCTGTAGAGAGGGCCTCTTCTTTGACTGAGGGCCACAAGAGTCAGAGCCTGATTACAGATTTAAGGATTTCATAAAGATGCCTAGGTTTTCATAGATTCTGTGCCTTTCAGACAAGGGTGATAATGGCAACAGGACTTGTATGTTATAATCATTCCTCCTTCAGGAAGGAACAACAGAAAGCCAATACTTAACCCATAGTTAACTACTTTCCCCATTTGTATTTTCAGCCTACTGTGCTCTTTAGTGAATACTTTTGATCTATTATTATATCTGTAAAGAAGTTGTGTTTTTTCTTGTAAAAAGCTCAAACTGTCACCTGTATTTTTTCAATCTCTATTCAAGTGCATCGAGGTAGTATAAATACAGGCATTTAAGATGTATGTATATTTTTAAAAAGAAGCTTTCTCTGTGTATTTTTGAATCTTCTTAAGCTTTTCTTCATTTGTCAGAAAGTAACACAGAGCTTAATCTATCTGGAACAATGGGCTCTCAGTCTATAGGAGTAAAATAATTCTTATTCCAAAAAGATACTGCTTGGTCTTGCTGCCAGCACACTTTGTATAGTGCTTGAATGGGCCCTATTGTCCTCCTGTGCACTCAAAATGAATGAATTTATCTTTCAAAGTGGAGCGTTTCTGTCTTCCCTATACCAATTCCCACTTCTGTTTCTGAAGTAGGAGAACAAGACTGAGCTCTTGAAAGCACAGAAATCTGAACCATGAAAATGAGATTCCAGTATACCTGTCAATCACCAAGCCTGGTTTGTGCCAAGTGTACAGTTACCATAAAGAGTTTGTTTGGACCATTACAGAAATAGCTTCACTTTAATGTACCAATTAAATTGGTTAATTTACCTCCACCTTCTGTTCTGAAAATATTCCTCACTTCTAATTTCTGTTCTGAAAATGTTATAATTTCTTAATTTCTCACTTCTAATTTCTTAAAACTTTTGGGCATTCCTCATGCTGAAAGTGAGTACTGTAAGCTCTTACACACTTGCTGCATTTAAAACATGAGAAAGTTACTCTCTTCTCAGTGGGATTGTTGCTTGCCTCAGTATGTGTGTGGATTTGGGGAGGGTTGGTGTTCCAGATTTGGGACTTGCTGTATTTCATTTCAAAGAGCTTGTGTAGCTCTGCACTGTTGGGTTCAAGTACAGTGAAGTTTGGTGGCTGGATAGTGGCTGTAATTATAGCATACGTAAGCGAGTGCAATCTGAGGTCTGCAGGGTGCTTCCTTTCAGCTCCGAGGACACCAGTTGGGCCAGCTGAGCAAAGGAGTGGGCAGCTGAGTGGTCTGGCCTACTGGACATGGTCCCCTGCACCCTGCTGGGAGGGCTGGGAGGAGTGAGCAACAGCAGTGGCTGTCACAGCAAGCAGAAGGGAGTGCTCCTGCCCCCCACTTCTGGCTCTCCGCTTTGGGAAAGGGCATCCTGACCCTTGCCGTTTTGTGTAGGACCTTGAAAAGCGCTTAGAAAAGGAGAGTGAAGGAAATAGGGATAGAGAATTTCAAGGTGGAACGGCATGAAATAGGTAGATAAAGTCTAGCTCTTTAACAGTGTAATGAAATTCATAGTTATCAGATATAAATATTAAAGAAATACTTTTTTTGTGCAACTTGTATTTGGGAAATTTATAAAGTATAATGCTGTGGAGGCTTTAAAGCATGCATTTGTTTAAATTCCTCGAGGACGTGGCTGTCAATGGCTATTAAGTGTGATGGCTTGACTGCAACTACTTGTTCATAGGCTTTCTGAGCTGGAAGTCCCTAGATTGCTGGAAGCTTATTTGGGAAGATGAGGATGTACCTTCTCTTATTTATATTCTTCTTATGACAGTTGCCAGTAGCAAGTGCTTAAAGGGAAGATGCTATAGGTGAACTTTTGATCTGGCTCAACGTGGTAGTTCTTATTTCAGTCATCTTCTCTTCATTATTCTTTTTTTGCCTTCAGTGAAGGCAGTGAATAGTTATTCAGGACCTAAGAGTATATTAAAACTCCTATTAATCATGTTTTCTGGCAGCCGTTCAGCATTTACTTAATAAATTTGTTGTACTGTTCTTAAGGTACAATATAGTCTGGTTACCTGCCCTTTATAAATCTGGACTTTTTAAGGCCAATTATAGACAAATAATTTAAACCTGCATCCAGTTTACATCTCAGAAGCACAAACTTTAATTCTAGGAAGTTAAAGGTTGTTTTGTTTCTGGTTTTTGTTTTTGTTTTTTTTTTTTTTTTTCATCCTATGTTTCTCATTTTGCTCATTTGATTTAAGATGCTGCTAATGGAAGTTAAAAAAAAAAAAAAAAAAAGTATTTTTCTATTCTCAATTTTTAACCTTATTTTATATGCTTCTCTCTTTCTCACTGGTAATGTCCGACTTTAATAATGTTTCATTGCTGTCAGGTTCATGCTCAAAAAGAAATTATTCTGTCCACTCTTTTCCCATATAACTGAACTTTGAGGGTGAATTAGGGACTGTAGGCTTCACACAGCTCTCTGCTCTCTTCCAAAGCAGATGTGACAATAACAAAACTGTTGATTCAAAGGAAAATTTGGGGAGGAAGGGATGAAGATGAGGGAGGAGAATAAAAATGTGTAAGTTACAGGATCTGAGAGCAGAGAAAAGGTGAGAAATATTTCAAAATTGATTATACGGGGAATGGCTAATCCAGAGTACTTGTTGAAAAGTTATGACTTTAAATTTTTATACTGAAGTGTGTAGGCTTGTTTGTATCTTCTAGCCTTACCCATCGTGGCTAAAGATATTTTTGCTTGTTCCTGAAATGTTTGGATGAATTGAAAAGAGTTTTGTGAAGTGTCCTCTCTATGTGAGCTTTAATGCTGTTATAAACTTTGAAAATCTCACGATTGTCAATGATGCAGGCTTAAATATGTATTTACTAGAAAAACAGCCTCCTCATCACAGGCAGGTATCTCTGCCGAAGTCTTTCCTTCCAGTGCTCTCATGTTTTTATCAGCCCACACCAAGCTACTTGTAATGTGAGGAGTGAAATAGTGAGCATCCTGCAGATGGTGAGATATGTGGATTTGGCTCTTTTGCTTGGGTGACGTAGTTTCTGTTTTTGTTCCTGATGCCACTAATGTTTTCAAGAATTGTGGTAATAGTCCAAGAAACCACAGAAGGGTTGACGTTGGAAGGGACTTCCAGAGGTCCCCTCCCTCTCTACTCTTGCAGGGCCACGTTGAGCCATTTGCAGTTTTCTAGGGCCATGTTCAGGCAGCCTTTGAAGATCTGGATGGAAGGGAGATCCCTTGACCTCTCTGGGCTACCTGTGCCAGCATTCCATCATCCACACAAGAAGTGCTTCCTGATGTTCAAACACAACCTCCTGTGGGTTGTGTTTGTGCCCATTGCTTCTTGTCCTGTCAAACATGAATTAAATTTGTGTAGGTGACTACTGTTAGATGAATATGTAAATTAGAGTCTGAAGGAAGCACCAGTGGTGGTCAGAAGACGTCAGAAACATGTCTCTCTCCGTGGTTCCAAAATGTGTCCGTTTGAGACAGGTTTCCAAGGGGTCAGTGAAAATTTCCCAACTGTGTTAATGTACGATTGATTTATATTAAGTACGGTGTTTCATGGGAGGAAAAAGGATTTTTCTTGGTTTAAGACAAAAAAAATACTTATCTCTAATAGTTGAACCACAAATAACTCCCTATTTTAGTTGTTTTATAGGACTTTTTCTAAGACACGTTTGAGAGGATTAGTTAATGTAATACATCAGAAGCACAAACAACCAAATGTTTTAAGAAGGAATTTTATATGTTTTCTTTAACTAGTTTATCTAAAAGCAGTCAAAACTGCTGTCAGTGAGAAGGATTTAGATGGATAAACATTATTTAGTCACTACAGTATGATAGAAGCTAGATACTTCTGTTTTGGTTCTGCATTTTAGTGCAATCTGTTATTTAACATTTTTTCTTTATTAATAGTTTCTTCTCTCACCAGCAATCAAGTAAGATCATTCTAGCAATTAGAAGCGTAGTGTTTGGACATATTTTAGTATAGGTTTATTTATCCCTTAATGAATTAGAAAGAGCTTGCATGTTGTAGCCAAAATGTGTATTACAGATCTTGGATTTTTCTGATTGAATTGTGCTGTACATGCTTGATTATTGAATTATAACTCTTTGAACTTTTATTGTCTTTTCCTTAGGATTTCAAGACAGGATTTGGTATCACTTTAATCCCTATGAATGTGGCAAATGTAAAACAAGTGGATCGGACTGCAAAACAATCTTTTGAAATAATTACTCCTTATAAAAGCTTCAGGTGAGAACTTTAATATTTACAGTACAGAGTATACAAATAACTAATACACTGAAGAAATACTTGCTTCCTACAGCAGTGATTTAACCTAGTTTGGGTGAAAAGGTAACACTTCTTAAGAATGCTCAGCATTTTTTAAACAACAAAGGGATTTTTTTCCTTTGTTTAGCTGTGTGCTTCATCTATTATCTCTCTAACTAGGCATCCTGTTCCCACAAATTCATATTTTATGTAACCTTCTTTGTTCATTCTCTGCAAGGGCAGAAGAAAACCAAACTTTGAAAACTTTGCTTCATCTTAATAGTAAACTGCTGAAGTGATATCATGCTGCATTCATTTAATATTAAGCATTTTATTCTAAAAGAAAATAATTGATTATGTGCCATCCCTTGTAAAAATCCTCAATTGAAATCAGTAGAAAGTTTGGCTGATGCTGTGACTTGTAATGATTTAAGAAAATAAAATAAAGCTATATGCTAGTAAAAATCTTTTCTTGAACATGGAAGTGTTTCTATAATGAAATCTCAGTAATGCAGGAGAAGTCACTTTGTTCTCTTTGACTTACTAAATGACTGAAAAGCAAACAATTTGCTTGTATACTCTGTGGCTTAGAGTAGCCAGTAAATAAATTTGTCTCTGTCAGTGATTTGAGTCTATGGCTAGTTGGTAGATGTATGTATTGGTAGTCTATGGCTAGCTGTTTTTGACTTTCTCAAAGCCATCAGCATGTTGGTGCTTGTTTATTATTTATATTTAAAAAAAAAATCAATTTAAATAAAAAGCAATTTTTGTCTGTTACAGGTAGCAAGTCTACTTGTACTCCTTAATAAACCATCACATTTCCTTTAATTCTATGATGTTTATTAAAAAATAAAAAATAAAAAATCAGGCTTTAACTTTGGTATGTGTTAACATAAAAATAAAGAAATGCATTGAAAGTAACTCAGGAACATAACTAAAATGTTACAAAAGCTTTATAGCTCTCACTGGCAGTGGTTTTGTTGAAGACTGATTTCAGACCGACGGAGTTTTCACTGGCAAAAAAATATTTTCCATCTTAGAATTTGTGTCTGTGTGTGGTGGAAGATTTCTTTGACAGTGATTTTGGGTATAAATGTAAGAAATAAGAGAGACTACAGATTCTGTTTAATTGGGCTTTAAAATAAAGATCAATAATGCAGAAAAGTCAATTGTTTCAGCTTTACAGCCGAGTCGGAAAGAGAGAAACAAGACTGGATTGAAGCGCTGCAGCAATCGATAGCAGAAACTCTCTCTGATTATGAAGTAGCTGAGAAGATTTGGTTCAATGAATCCAACAGGAGCTGTGCTGACTGTAAAGCTCCCAATCCTGACTGGGCATCCATCAATCTCTGTGTTGTCATTTGTAAGAAGTGCGCAGGTAGAGTAATTAATGAGAGGCTGTGTGGGTTCTACAAAAATGTCATATTTGCATATCCGCGTATGTCCTTGAACTGGCTTTTTTATTTTTAAAGTGCTATCCTTGTGAAAGTTTTGACAAACATTGAATGAATATAACTTCTTTAATACCGAGTATTCTAAAGCACTTCCTTGCATAAATGACAAGCCTGTATGGTGATTGGTTTCCCACAGATGAATAATCCTTCACTATTAATGGAAATCAAGACATACTAACACTTCTTGGGAAATGGCTGGCTTTTGCGAGGCTGCATTCTAAAGGATAACAATTGGCAATGTATAAACGAGAGGTATTAAATACCCCAGGCCGTATTTTACTGACAATACATGATAGCGTTTTCAGATATTAAAAGAAAAACAATTCTGTCATGTTTTATATTTAAATACATGCAAAAATAGTGAATTCAGGGAGCTAGTTTGTAACTCTAGGTTTTGCTTTCAGAACAAACCCTTATGAAAAAGCCTTCTGAAAGCATTCTACATCGGAGCCTTTGCTTATTATTTACTATTAAATAGTACAATTTTCACTACAACGCTATAACCTAAAAAGGACTAGATTTCTGTGCCAAGTGCAATCCACCTCCCTTCCTTCTTTCTAATTTTTTTTGCTTGTTTTTTTGGTTGTTTTCTTTTTGTGCTTTTATATTTAAATGTCAAGCCTAGTACATATTAGTCTTTTTTAAAAAAATAATTAGAATAAATCTGTCTTCATTAAATATTTTTGTTAGCTCAGCAGAAGAGAAACTCATTTTAAGTGCTTTACTGAAGCTAGTTAAGTAAAAATACTCTTGGATTTCTAGGACAGCACAGATCTTTAGGACCAAGAGACTCAAAAGTCCGGAGTCTAAAAATGGATGCCAGCATTTGGAGCAATGAACTTATTGAGGTATGTTGAGATACTGCAACTTTGTTCATCTTGAAAGGTGCTTCATGAATAAGAGTTCTTTCCTTATGAGAAGTCTTAACATATAGCTACTAAAAAAAATGTGCTGCTGTTAGAGTAAACCTTAAGGTTTCTGGGAGGTAACTGTACTTTTGTGTCATTCAAAATATTCATTGGTTTTGAGAACCATGTGTACCAAGCATTTCTCCAAGCACCTGTGTTTTGGGGAAAAAAAATGGAGATGCTTCTGGACAGCAGTCATGATGGGCAGTATTCATTGAAGGGAAAGAAAGGGAAACGAACTCCTCACTACCAGGTTAGGTGCTTGGGGTGTTTAAAAGTGTTGCTGAAGGGGAAGGTTGAGTCGTCACTGTTTTCTTTAAAAGAAATGCTAACATTCTCTAAAATTCTACTGCTATTTTCTTGTGTTTATTTGAAGTCTTGTAGCTGGTTAGCTTTGTAAAGCTTAGTAGCTATTGCTGAAAATCACGACTACAGGCTTTAACTGTGGTCATCTATAAATGAATAATATTGACTGAGTAAGGTTTCCTGCAGGCAATTATCTCTTTGTAAAACTTTTTTTTCTCCACACTTAGCAACTGAAAACAATTCAGGGGTTAGCCTGATATCCTTCATGATATTTTGTTTGTTTTCTCTTGCACTTCATCCAGCTCTTTATCATCATTGGAAATAAGAGGGCAAACAGTTTTTGGGCAGGAAATCTTCCTCCAGATGAAGAACTACACATGGATGCCCCAGCAGAAAAAAGGATTGCGTTCATTACACAAAAATACAAAGAGGGAAAATTCAGAAAAGCACCTTTTCTCTACAAAACCAAGGAACAATTGAATAAGGTAATACTATAGAATGGGTAAGCCCTTGCTGTAACTTTTGTATTGAATTGTATTTGTGTGCATTTTGGTCATCTCATTAAACTGGTGAGAAACAAACTGAAAATCCTGAGTGGTGGGTTTTGCAGCTCTGAATGAAGCCTTTGCTTCATTCATGATTTTTCAATCCATGATTTCTTAGTTCTAGATTTTCTAATTTGTTTGTGGAAGGTTATGGCACCTATATGGTGCCTATAATAAATAGTCCAGAGCTATCAATAAATACAGATCTTTGTTTTCAAATGCACGCTCCATAGACAAAAATTCTCATTTGTCTTTTTTATATTCCTTCTCAGTATGTTTTGGATATATGTCTAACGTCGAACATTCCAGAGTTCCATGATAGGTGATTACATTATCAGCAGTGAAAAGTAGCTAATGCACACTTTCATAATAGCTTGTAGTTAACTGGAAATGAAACAAGCTAGAATAAACAAAATGATGAAAACTGAGTTCTAATGTTTCCTTTTGCACAAATAACAGAAACAAATTGTCTACAGTTATAAAGTAGAAAATGCTAATTATAATTGCTAATTATAATTATCAAATTCTGCATAGCTTTGATATCTGTTTGACTGACTTATGCTGTCTGCTGATTTCAGAGTCGTGACTTTTTAGGGTTTTTGAATATAGAGGGGTTTAAATGCATATACTTTATAAAGTTAGTCTATTCAATTGCATATTAGTGAAATTATCTCAAAGGATATGCAAAGATTGTGGTGGGGTGGTAACATTTAAGTTATTGTGCTTTGAAGTAGTAGGTTTCAGTGGTTATTTTCCAAAAAAATTGAAGTGTTCTTCACATGTTAGAGGTTGCATGTGAGTTATACACATGAGAAGTAAAAACAAAGGCATTTAAAAATATTGTCTCTTTTAAAATAGTTCTAACCATCTTTATACTTCGAATTTGGATTTTCTACATTCCCATATGACTTTCTGATTCTGTTGGGATCAGGACACATTTTTAGGCTTTATGGACACATTTAGGCTTTATGTCTCTTTGCAAAATAAAACACTTAAATATCTTTTTTTTTTCTTTTAATTTTATTGTTAACAGTTAATTTTATACTATAACTGCTGACTACAGGAAATGCAATAGTCCTTTGTGGTTTACGAGCTTGATTTTTCTGAACTCTTCTGGTACAGAGGTGTCTGTCAATTAATGATTTAACTACTAGGAAGTAATATCAGATGTAATGATCAAATTCTCTATAGAGACATGATATTACCATGTAATAAGTGGTCATTGCCAAGTAATTATAAAACTTCTACTGAACTATCTGCCTTACCGGTTTTTGCATACTGGATGCACGTGTGTTTATTAGAGCAGCTGAATTTTAGTACTTCTCTTGTGTTGAGCAACCTCTGTATTTATTATTTCAGAAAAGCTGATCCATTAACTAAATAATGTAAAATTATCAGATAGATTGCTGAAATTACATAGGTACTTCTAATTTTAAAATTTTCGAACCACATTTTGGAAGAAAATTATTTACATTTGTCTTCGTGCATAGGAAGATGAAAGGGACCTGAATTTCTAAAATGCATTGAGATCTTTAAATCTCAAGGAAGATTATGAAGTATAAAGGTACCCTAAACAATAGTTGCCTCGCTGGCTGTGAACATGACTTTGAAAAACTACCTATGAATTCCAGGCTGTTTCCTAATAAGAGTTAAAGGATTAAATCTTGTCTCTTTGGTTGAACTTCTGAGGTCTGGAATAATTATTTTTTTTCTTCAGTAGTGTGCTGTGTGAAGGGAAATGAAGGAGGGATTTTTCATGTAGATACCCAGTTGCAGGACAGCTTATTGCTTTAATTAATGTTAACATGCAGATACAAAATGTGTGGCAGCAAAATCTTGCAGGGTTTGGGTTGGTGACTTTTTTTTCCTTGTTGCTCCTTCTTCATAGTTTCAGACCATAATTCATGATTCCTGCTGCTTCCCAGTGGTTATGGCCTTTAAAAATGTAGGGGAACTATATCAGAGGTGAAAGGATTTGCATTTACAAGGACTTGCTACCAAAAACTTTCTAATTTAAACAGACTTGTTATTTTCCCTCTTCATAAGGCGCTGTGTGCTGCTGTAGTTAAACAAGATGTTCTAGAAACTCTGATGCTGCTGTTCAGTGGGGCTGATGTGATGTGCGCTACTGGCGATCCTGTTTACAGTACTCCATACTTACTAGCCAAGAAAGCTGGACAAAGACTGCAAATGGAATTCCTATACCATAATAAGTTTTCAGGTAGGATATACCTGCTTTATTTTGATCTTCTAATTTCTTATTGAGTGAAATGAAAGGCATTAACTGTATTTTATCAGACACTATGTGTAGTTGTGCAAGTTACTTGCATTTTACTTGGACTTCAAGTTTATTTCTTCAAAAAATAATTAAAAAGCTTGTGATGATATACCCTCATAACGTTGTTTTGTAACACAGAAGAAAAGCATCATCTGCTTTGCCTCTACTGTCAGGCTTTTACCAGAAAAATGGGTACATACAGTTAATCATATATCTAAAGTATTTCTCAGGGGCTTTGCTTTTTGATTACAAACTATTTAAATTGATATCTACCTTGACCGTTAAAAATAGTACCTATCTAGTACTATAGGTACCTATAGGTACCTATCTGTTGTCACAAGTTCTCCTCCTAAAATAAAACCTCAAACCAATCCCAGCATACTACCCTTTTTCAGATCACAACTGTGCATCATAGACTTTGGCCCTGAAAGTCAAAAGGCCTGGTCTCAATTTATCACTGTTTCCAGGCGCTTGAAAAGGCTGTTCTTTAAAAAAAAAAAAATAAAAAAAAAAAAAAATATATATATATATATATATATATATATATATATGTGTGTGTGTGTATATATATATATATATATATATATGTATATATGCATACACACACAAATAGTAATTATAATAATAAAAATATACATGTATATAAAATATATGCAATTAGAAAATTATGGAGTATGGATGTACCTGAACTTTTCTTCTTAAAAAGGAAAAAAGGCTCTCTGGCATCTGAAGCAGTCTGGGAATGATGAAACTTCACGCACAGATTTACACTGGAAGAAATTATCAATGCTAATCCAGCCAGCATTGTGGATATGCTTATGCAACTCAGCAAAGTAACACTTGATAGGCTGAACACAATTTTTTTTTTTTTTTTTATTTTAGTCGGAAACTCTGGAATGATATAGAGTTTCCCAGAGCAAATGCAGTGCCTTAAGTTTTGCCTAAGCACTTCTTTGTCACAAATGACAGGCATCAGATCCTGGGATGTTGAGCTCAATCACTGTGCAGACAAGCAGCTGTGGTGGTTTTATGGTTTGTGTTGTTTGGTTTATTTTGCTAGTTATGCTGTGAAATAGTCCTAAGGCTGTAGAAGGAAGTTTGCTTGTCTTGGCTCTGTCTTTTCCACTTGCAGCTTTCCAGCCAACGCAGCACTGCTGTGTGTTGGAGCTGGTGTTTGTTCCTTCTTTTCAGAGAAAATAGGGGGTCATGGCAGGTTCACAGTGATCCTCTGAAATCCTTCTGCCGCCAGAGTTTGTGGTAAACTTCTAGATAAGCCCTAAAGAGAAACACTTCCCTTCTGTTTAAGTATATTGCAATAAGGGATGAAAATAAAAACATAGTACACTAGAAAACCACATTTAGGTTACGTTGGCAAGCAGTGGTAGAAAATGGCAATGTAATAACCAATGTAAAACAGCAGGTTTTGGTGAACATGTGACAATAATTGTAAAAATAGATCAATAATGTGTATCTGTGCTATAGGAAAGGTTTTAGAGAGCAGCTATGTATCTGTAAATACTGCAGATGCAGTAAGAAGGATGTGGAGAAGCAGTTATACCCTATAGTAGAGGAAGTTTTATATGTTACTTACTACTTTGTCTTTTAATAGATTTCCCAAGCTATGATATCTGTCTTGAAAGTGGCTTCTCTGAAGATTCTTCACATTCCACCTTTCTTTGTGAATTTTTATACAAAGTTTCTTCTAATACTACCAAGCTTCTTACAGAGAAGAAATTAAAAGAAGGTATTTCAGTTTTACTTCATACATTTGAATAATACATGAATATGTATGGTATGGATGAATTTGGTTCTTTTTAACTTCTTACATTACTTTTTAAAAGATAAATTGTCTCGTTTGATTCTGTAGACCTCTTTCAGATTAAGAAAATCCCGATTGTCTTGATCTCTTTATTCGGTGGTTGACAGAAGAAGGAAATTAAACTACTTATTATTCAGTTAACAAAAATGATAAATAAAAAACATATACAAATATTTCTCATTTTAATTGTAATTAGGCAGATGCTGCTAGCTGCCAAACGTAGCTTCCATTTGAAATCATTATCTTTCTGAAACCATTTTAACACTGACTTCCCAGAGTCCAAATTGATAATGCCTGAGATATTGCTCAAGCTTGCAAATGTATTTAAAATGGACACGTCTAACAATTTTACAACAAATTAAGCATTGCGTGGTAAAAATGTTTGTATTATCGCAGTAGAAATCATCAGCAGTCATTCTACTAGGATTTTTGAGAGGTTGTCAGATAAATTTATTTTTTTCTCTTTTCCTGTATTTTCTTCTATCTAAACAAAAAAGGTAGATTTTTAAAGTATGAGCTGGTTTGTAGTTAAATTGATAGCTAAGAAAATCTTGATACAGCATCCTGTGTCATTGACAAACGTTTATTTTGTATGATGATGTTTATATTCTGGTGGTATGTCTTTAAGATCCTTAATGGAGATCGAAGCATGCACATAACTCCCATTTAAATGCACTTCTAAGGTATCTGTGTTATTGTAGATCCTAATAGTCAAAAACATTGAGTGATCATCAGAACTAATTCTGAATTGTAAGCATTTCCCAGCAATGATGCAGCTGTTAACAAAGACCTGGGCAGAGCCCTGGACTGCGGCTGGACAGGACTTCTTTGCTGATTGTTCTAAAACTGTTCTGAGCTTACTCAGGAAAGACAGGAATAACCACAAACCTCTTGTTATAAGTGCAGGCCTTGTATTCTGTGCTGTGGATATATATATAATGTATTTATACATACATATGCATGCACACACACACATATATAATCATTTTTAAATGTATTTCTAAAAACTCAAGACCCTGCTGAGGGAAGTAGAGAGCAGATACAAGGTAATACTGCTGTTGTCTCATCTAACATCTTCTAATTCTATTTTATTAGAAATGCAGTTTAAATTTGTAAGTAGATATAGATTGAAGAGTTAACTTTAAATGCTCACAGAATGCCTTCTGCCGTGCTTTTTTGGAAGATGTGGTGGGCGTACAGCTTTACAAGTGTATAGGAAGATGTGTTTACCTGTCCTAAACCATTTGCAGTTTTAGTAGACAGATCAGGGAGGAAAATGTAATAATGACATCCTTTTAGTATAGTTAAAAAAAAATATATATATATATATATATATATATATATAAAAATGCAATTTTGAATTAGAATCTGTTCTTACCTGAGGACTGTGTCTACTGTGCCATGTGTAAGAAGTAAAAAACAAAAGGTTTTTTATTACAATTTAAAATATGTAAACTTTTTTCTTCCTATATTTTTTCCTATATCAAGAACTGTTTTCTACCTTATATCTCACTAACATGAAATAATATGGGGATACTCACACTGCAGATAGTTGGGAATTGATTGTATCATGTATGTGTATACAAAATATTTTATATTATTTAATAATTTAATATCATTTTTATGTATGAAATAAACAGTAAGAAAGAAAAACTATCTTCATCAAATAATTTAATGGTTCCCATACCAATGTGTGGGAGATACAGTTTCAGTTCCCTCCTTGGCCTGTAAAGATTCAAGTAAGAAGATTTACCTGAAACAAAGTGATCTACCTTTTCAGTGCTAGAGGAAAGAAAGGAACCCTTTGGGTGAAGTAGTTGGGACTTGCTGCTGAGTTCTCATTGAACCAGAGAGGGAGCACTGGTACCTAACAGGGGATTGGAGCACTCGTCAAAATTCTGGGTCCTGCCCCCAAATTATATTGGATTTTTCTTACACTGATTTTTATTTTTTATTGACATTTATGCTTTGAGCCAGAGTCCAGTTCATCTCTCTAACTACTAAGCTACTGTTTAAATTCTTCCTTGGTGTTAAAAATTTCTTCTGAGGCACTTGTCAGCTTTGTCAAGGGCTGAATATTTAAGTGCTCTGTTTGCAATCAGAGAAAACTGGTATTCCTTTGTGGGCTGAGCTCCAATTGCAAAAGGAAACCAAAGAAATCACTCAGTGCTGTGAATTGAATCCAGGTTTTATAAAAGCCAGGTACAGCATCTGGAAACACAGTATAGTTTTTTACTATGTGGGTTTCAGTGCAGGAGAGAGTAAACCAACTTTTTGTATCCTTGTTACAGTGCTATCCGTGGTTTCAGCAGGGGTGCACAACTTCTGGGGAAAGTTATTGTTAGTTAACAGCTGTTGATGATCAGCAGGAAGAAAGCTCAAACATTGTTGCTATTCCAAAGCAATATATCAAAAAAAATAATAATAAAGGTTAGTGATTTGGCCTGAGTTGAATTTTTCTCTTTCTGTTTTTAATGTAGAAGTTTGTACAGAGCCCTGTTTAAAAATCATAGTGTTCCAAAATTATCCTTGAGAGTTGAACAGTTCATTCAATATTGAGGCAGTGAGCTATTTTGTAGAATGGGCATACTTTAGCGAAGGGAATGATGGAAGGCTAGGGGGTCAAAAAATCCTGAACAATCAAACCCAGTTTTGTAAACCTATACATCTTCAAATACTCAAACTTATGTACACTTCAGTATTTAAAGTGTGTATTTACAATATAGGTAGAAAGCATGATATTCAATAAATACTAAGAAAATAGTGCCCAAAACATGTATGACTCAGTGAATAACAGATAAACTAATTGGATGAAATATCAGACAACATATCAAGTATTGGTTAATTAGAACTGTAGTTTATTTTTTTTATTTATTCATGATTTTTTTTCTTTTCTATTTTACCAAATTAGCACAAATAGGTTACTGGAATATGTGTACCTCTTCAGAGGTCTTATTACTGTAGAAATTAACAGTATTTTTGCTTAGGTCCCGCTTCTTTAGTGTTGAGAATAGATGCACCTCAAGTTATATTCTAAGAACTAGATGTTGCCTTGAATGAATTAATATACAGAGTAGAAAGCAGTCATTAATATTCTATTTCATATGCTGTATTCGTAGTTCAGGTTCACAAGAAGTAGTAAACACTTACACTCAAATATGCTGAATAAGGCTTTTAAGTTGTTCTGCAGATTTCTTTTTAAGATACACCTTGTGTAATTTTTTTAAGAAAAGTATAAGTGGCAATTTCTGGATCCTCTAATATACCTAGTTCAAAGTTATGTGAAGATAGAATTCTTAAGTAGGTAATTTAACCATTGCTCTGCATCTGTGTTGTTACATGTTGAACGTTTGTATGAGCATTAGCATTCTGCGAACTGCCGTGTTGCTTAAATGAATTTACTCTTGCCAGTTACACGTGAGAATAGCAACAGCAGAGATTTCCAACTCATTCTTATGTGAATGTGCCATCCTGCTATAGTTGTAGCTACTACCTGTCTATTGTGTTTCCTCTTATTTAGCCTAGTATCTAGGCATACATTCTGTACAATTTCACTACTGTGCGACTCTTGGACCTGCAGTAGGAGAGAATTGAGCTCAGCTGCTGAAGTACCTTGAAAGGATTGTCTGTTCTTCAATTTGATATCTTACTCTATCTTGGTAGTGTATTTTCTGAAGTATTTTAACAATGTTAAGTAATGTAACTTCTGATAGTGGTTTCTTTTGTTATCCTTGTAGTGTACAATGGATGTAAGTTTTAACATGTATGACACTTGAAATTTTATAGTATAGTATTTCAAAATATATAACTTAAATATAACTTAAAATATAAAACTTAAACTACCATATGCTAGAATTCCTATAGGCTAAATAGAATCAACACAGAATTTGAATTCCTGGCCCACTGAAGTTCGTGGGACTGAGATATCATCATACATGTACTCCCGTCGTAATAGAGCTATATATATTTTGAGGCAAATTCTACAGAAAGAGGCAATTTTTTTTATTAAACCAACTGACTTTTTTTATTATTTCTTTATTCACAGATTGCAACAAAAGATGGTGCACTTTGGAAAGTGGCTTTCTGAGCTACTATGAAAATGATAAAACGACAACTCCTAATGGTATGCTTGACATCAGCGAAGTTATCTGTCTTGTAGTGCACAAGTCAGACTTCTTTTTAAATAGAGGGTAGGTTCCAAAATTAATAATTCAGTAAATAAACGCAGGTATTTCAAAGATGCTGTTTTCCGTGCTTTTCACTTTGTTCTTGAATTTTGAACGTGCAATTTAGAGAGAAAAAACTAAAAGGAAGCTTGAAGTTATATTGACTTCAAGAAATAAGTGCTAAGTAGTATTTGTTTATTTTTTATAGTGATGTAATGAAAATGTTAGGGTAATTTAAAAGGGCAACATAAATTAGATATGTCTCTTTCTTATTAAAACTGTAATGCATATTCTCAGTGCTTAAAAGGTTACACGATGATAAATTGAACAATTAGTGCTCATTTTTCTTTCTGGGATTGACCTATGCCTCAAGCCAAAACTTTTGCTTTGTTTCTTTCTGATAATGCTGCAGTTCTCCACAATTCTTTCAGTTTTAGTCACAGATCTATCAGCCTTGTAAACCCATTTGTTGTTCTGTAGTTGAGGGCAGCAATTTAACTATTGAACGTGAAGTTCCTTTGAAGATAACTTTTTTGGTGGTCTTGTTTTTCTTTTACAACTCTTGCATATTCCATTCATACATTTAAAAACATCACACAGATTCAGAGTTGCGATCAATGATCATGATTGATCAAGGCAACATGTTTGTTGAAGCTAATGCTTTAATTTGTACTTAGGATCTGTCGTAAATGCCATAATACTTTTTAAATTTGTGTGTGTGTAAAATAACAAGATCTCTCTATCGTATGATACAGCAGTGTTTAGAACTATACTGCAGAAGTGTCTGCAACAAAAGCATTCTATTCAGAAAGTTTCTAGAAATGATAATGGGAAGGAAGGACCTTAGCTACTACAGAGATAGTGTGTGCATAGGGGAAAGATCGTGAAAAATGATTATGCCTCAACATGCTATGCCTCAAAATTGCAATGGAAGTAGTCATCAGTACTCTGTTGTAGCATAGCTTTGTGGTATCTGGGGGGGAGTGGGGTGGAGGGGGGGACATGCTACTTTATTTTTCCATAATGTGATCTAATATATTTCTTGCTATACGTGCAAATGGTTCCACTTCAGGGTAATGCCTAAATAAAAAAACTTGTTGGCAAAATACTTCATTTTTAGGGAATGACTAATCTCCTAATGTGCTTTATCTGAGACAGGGAAGCTTCTCTTGAAACTACTCGAAGTTATTTTGTTACCTGAGATATTTTGTATACGTTCTGTCCTTAAAATGACTATTTTACTAGTCAGAGTCAAGTACTTACATATCATTTACAAAGCATCATTGCAAATGGAAGAATTGATCTATGGTCAGTTCTCCAGATTCAGACAAACCTCAATCTCCAGTATTGAAAGGGAAAAGCGTACTCCATTTGTTTGGTTTTTAGGGGGAAAGGTCACAAAGGAAATCATGCTAAAAAATTTAGCACCATTAACCGTAACTTACGTGTTAAAAACTGAGTCCAACGACTTTCCAAATTCCACCACAGTTTCAAATGGTTTTCTTTCTCTTCTTTTAACTATACTTACTATTTGGCAGTTAAAATGGAAAAGCAAGATCCAACCATTTTAAATAGTGATTGTTTTTTTTTCTTTGCTTGTTTTTAATTTTTATTGAGAGTTACAGCAACTTCAAACAGTAGTCATAAACATGACAGAACCAAACTCTTCTTGGTGGTGGCAGGTGGTACAATGACTGGTAGCAGCTACATCCCAGGAGGTTCAGGCAGGGTGATAGGAAAAGCCTCGTCATTAGAAGGGTGGTGGTCAAGAGAAACAGGAAAGTCTCCATCCCTGAATTTTTTCAAGACTTGGCTAGATGAAACCATTGCTGGTCTGATTTATGGTTAGTGATAGTCCTGCTTGTAGCAAGAGATTAGACCAAATGGCACCTAGTAGACCCTTTCAACCAACATTTTGTATGATTCTGTGATAACTTATTTGCAACTTCATATTCAGTTTATTGATCTACTTATATTAAATGTGCACAAATAATTTTGAATACATCATGACAATATACTTGCTGAGATCACGTGGAATTTAAAAAGCAAAAAAAAATTTCCTCTGGTTTTTAATGACTATATTTAAGCATTTTTGTTAATTTTAGAGCTACTGAAAAAGATTGTTATTCGGTAGCCTCTAAATATTTTTTTGACCTGAGAAGCACTCTAGATCATGTTGTGTTATAAAATATTCTGTTATTAGCTGAGTTGTACATGTAAGATCAGAGGAGAAATTGATTCCATTCCATATGTATGAACTAATGTAATAGGAACTAGGGAGAAATTGAACTTGTGTGTGTCTACTGTTATGAAGACTAAACACAGCTGCCTTTTTCCTTCTGCTTGCTTCAGGGACGTCTTTACCTTTGAAATCTATTTAATGTCAGAACGTGTTTTTCTGTTTGGAGCTGAAACTGCATATTCACAAAGAAAATGGACTTGGGCGATAGCTAAGGTAATACTGATAATTATCTTTTCCAGGCCAGGAGGGCCAGGAGCCTTTGCACAAAGAATAAAGTTTCATTGTTAGCTTAAAGTCCTCTGAGAAGCCATTCTTGATGAACAGTGGTCTGTCTTGTGTGTGGTGGTTTCTTGTGCAGCAGGAAGAAGTAACTTCTGTGATTTAATGTTTGAAACAAGATAATACAGTAAAATGGAAAAGGAATTGAAACATTTTAATGCTGACTTTAAGAATATCTTAAAGGTGCACTGGTGTGGTATGCACCATATGAATTTATTTCAGTTAAGTTGTTTGTGCTTGCCATTCTATTCTTTTGTTTGCTGAAACACAACTCATAAAGCAGTACAGTATTTGATACAGTACCAAATATTAACAGTCACATTACTACTTAAATGTAGTTTAAAAAGCAAAAATATTTGAATTGTGGAGTGTGAATGGAAAAAATGTGCTGTATCTGTTTTTATAGTTTAAAGTTAATGTATATATAGTTTTATGAATGATAAACCCAACAGTCTTGTTTCTTTAATGCAGCTTTCATCATTCAAGCTTCTAGTTTTGCAATGTCTATTTTTTTTTTGGGGGGGTGTGGGGGGAGAGGGTTTTTTTCTACATCTGACTCACCCTGTTTTGCTTGGTAGCATTTTGTTCCCCCTGTGGCTGAATGCTTACTAGAGAGAGACTGTGACCTGATTGGCCAACTGTACTACAAGGATTGCCATAGCCTGGATCAGTGGAGAAAAGGCTGGTTTGCTATAGAGAAGTCAAGCCTTTACTTTTGTCTTGAAATGGAGAATGCTCAAGAAGATTCCATATATCTAAGGAGGCTGCAAGAACTAAGTAAGAATTTTGGTTAAAATTTAGAATTCAGGAAATGTTCTACTGTTAAAGACATTTCTCTTACATTTTAAAATCATGAACATTAGGGAGCTCACCAAACAATCCTTTGCATGAGTCAGGTGCAACTCTCATCTAAATATGGTGTTGGTGAAGTTTGGTCTTGGATTTTTATTTTTTATTTTTTCTCCTACTTAGTGGCATATGCTGGAGAGGTTCATGGGTTCATAATGAATGAAGACAGTTTTTGTTCCAGTTGCAGCAGTATCTTTCTTACAGCAGTACAGAGTTGAATAATAACGTATGACCTTTTGGGATTGTCTCATATTTTTGACACTGCAGACTTGCTAACTGCAGAACATCTTCTTGAGATGATTGACAGGCCTAGTTTTAAAATACTTGAATACACTGGAAAAATATAATTCTCTTGGTGCACTATTTCAGACTAATAGACTTTTCCTTTTTTTTGGAGACTAAAAATATTCTTTGTTCAATATCATGACATAGAAAAGATTATATTTATACAAATGGTCTCCTATGACCATTTTTATATCAATATCTGCAATTGTTTTGAATCCTCTTTAAGTGTATCTGCCTTAGTTCCTTTTAGGGAAACAACAAGGGAACATTGTTTCCTGTGTTCTGTGAGAAAGTAAAAATAAACTAGCATTTTATATTAAACTAACATAGACAAGGAAGCTAATTTAGGTTTTTCTTGATGATACTCTTTGCGAATACTGTCAAATTGTGGACTTTTGAAGGAACTTGCCTAAATACCATTTGACTTCTACTGTTTATTTACTGCCACCCTATTTTTGCTAACTACATTCGATTAACTACATGGTGATCTTTAATCAGGAATACTCTTTTAGCTGTCTTTTTCAACTAGCGAATGTTCTTTAAAATCTCGATTCAGAAGTAAAAGGCAGTAAAAGAATTATTTCTGTTATTACTTTTGGTCTTACCCTTAAAATCATATGAACAACCAAATCTGCATGTATCTCAAATATAGAAACAGCACAAATACTTAGCTTTGGGTAGAAGATCCTTTTTGCTTGTGTTTTTACTATTAGGCAATAGTAGTATAACAGTTATTATTCCTGGAAAAATTATATACTGATACTCTTTTCTCTGATTTTCTCTGATTTCTGTTTTCCCCAAAATAAAGCTTCTCTGCTGTTAAGAAGGCTGTCTTGTGTAACTGAAACATGCAAAATAATAAATTGTCAGTAGGAATAGTCATTTATCTTCTCGATATTTGACTTATTAAATGTAAATAAGGACAGGAGTGTGATAAAATTATGCGACATACACCAGAATGTCTGTTGAACTTCACTGATGTTTAGGACTTTACTGTCTCAGGATTAATTGAGATAAAATGTGGATAAAATCTAAACATTGAAAGGATTTTTGAAGCCTTTACAAAGTTTTGACTTAATTTACCCTCTTTAGTATAGTGCATTGTGATATAGTTTCACAAGAACTGTTATGGAAAACTACCCAGATATATTGTCTCTATTATGTATATCTTAGGTTTTTTACAGGGCACAGAAGTGGTTTTTATTTATTTATTTTAGTAGAAACAGCATAAAATTATGTGGAAAAAGGGTGGCAGTGATCTCCACAATGTACTTGAATTTTCTGTAAGATACGTTACTGTAAATACTTGCAGCTAGTAGTATGCAAATCAAAGGATTCAAAAATCCCTTTTACTTTTGAATTGTGTCCTATAAAACTCATCTTTAACAAGTTTTAATTTTAGTACAAGTATGTATTCACATTAAAAAGTACTTCTTTAACCCTTATAATTTTCTGCATTGCTTTTTCCTGTAAATTTGATGGTATTATCATCTTTTGTGGAATATTGCTCCTATTATCAAGCAGCATTCTATATTTGAAATATTTAAGAATTTGATGCTCCTTTTGTCACTGAAGATCATTTTGAAAATGTCTGTGTATACATTCGTATATCATCTGAATGTTTGTGTGCTTTGTTTTCAGCAATCAGTAGTGTGATGCAAAATGGAGAAAAAATAGATGTTCTTCTTCTTGTTGAAAAAGGAAGGTAAGTTTCCCATCTGAATAAAGCTTTGATCTACTTTTATATTGATGTCTTAAAATTCTTGAGGATCAGTCATGGAGCTTTTTCCCTTGCAGTTGCTAGAGAGAGTAAATTTAAAGACTTTTTAAATGAGGGAAAGGCTTTGTGTATTAATTAAGTTTTATGCCCATGTCAGGAAGTGCTAACAAATACTGCTTCATTAAATGCAGTTTTCCTACTGAGAAAATTATTCCCATTCAGATTAGTTTGCCAGTAATGGTGTCTTCAAAAGGACCTAACTTTTTTTACCATGTAAAAAGGGGTACTCTGGAGCATTTGTAAAGAAGGGGGTAACTCTTTGGAGAATTTATCACTACTTTTTTTTTTTTGTGTGCTCTCATGCTTAAATCTGTGCAGGTCAGAATCAAGCAGTATGTGTGAGTCCCCTGGTTAGTCTTATTGTAATGCATGATCTCACTTAGCAGCATGTTAGCCAGAAAAAACATACTTGAGAGGTAAATATGATCTGTCTGCCTCCAAGTAGGTCTTAGTATTCTGCTGAGATAACTCTATCAAATATTGTGATATGGGATGCTGAAACTTGAAGTGAAGTGCAGTATTTCACTTTATATATGAAGTATCATACGAACCCATCATATACAGATACTAATTTAAAGCTGGAAGTTATTGAAAATAATTCTTATTTTGTACTAGATGTTCTTATTTCATAGATGTATTGCAAGCATTTGTGTAGGAAATGGTGCATTGTTTACACAGTCTTTTGAACAGTTGATAATAGGTTATTAAAGGAAGATTGCTTGCCTCTCTGTTGAGGAAACACGAAAATCAGATGCCTTTGACATCTATTCAGAATGAGAGAAACTTGATGGAGAAACTCATTGTAAATTGTGTGTTCTGAATTTTAATTCCTTCTAAGATACTGTTTAAGTTTCAGAATTCAGTAAATAAATCAGAAACAAACACTTTTTCCTAGTTGATGCATCTTTTCTCTCTAAGAAGCGCTTTGAAAGATTCTGCATTGAGCTACACAAGCCAACTAGGGAACCTGAGGTGTCCTACTCTCAAGGTTCAGTCCAACAGATGAATACAAACCATGTACCTGATATTAGTGCTGAGCAAAACTTCAAGCTCCAGGAGAGGTTTTATTATTTCTTTCATTGTAATATTTCTGTCAAGTGAGGATAGGTTTTCCCTGAACTCTTCTAATGGAAATTGAAGATATTTGAAAATAATTTCAACAAGGGCACTGACTGATTTATGGTGACTATGAATATGTTGAATTTTTCTTCACTGAAATCTTCCCTAAAAATATAAATGTGTAACGTTATCTTAACCATTAAAAGCCATGTGGTATATGAGCATTAATATACTAATTCTTATTTAGGATATTGTTCCAAAATATCCATGTGTTCATCACAGTTGCATGATATTGCATCCTCTAGTGATGAGAAATTTAATGGATGTGGGTGGGATGTGACTAAGTATCAAATCACCTTTATCTTCAGATTCATTTTTTAATATAAAAAGAAAATCAGCAATCCTTGTACCACTTCAAACCCTAGGTAAATTAGTTAATATCTCTGAGAAGTCAATGTCATCTAAATAATGTATCATAGTTCCTAGGTTTTTCTGGTTTTGTCTGTTATTTTATATCAGTGATCCTCTAATGCAAAGTTTGGCATAGATAGTTTCTTTTAAGTGATAACTCTATATACTGAGCTATTGACAATTCTCACGTTGATTTGTTAGTCTCTTAAACCTAGGATGAATGACAAAATCTCAAAAATCGTTATGTCAAGAATGAATATAAAAACAAAATAAGTTGTTTTTCCAGAATTAAGAAGAGTTAGAAAATGGAGGGGAAAAAATACACAACTTCTCTTGCTTACAGAAGTAAAAGTTGATGTCTTAACATATATTGCTGCATTTTATTAGAAGAAATTATGAAAGTCCTTTGAGAATTTTCATACTGAAGCTCATACTGTTCTTCTGTTGCTTTTGTTACTGATTTCACTGTCTAACTTCCCATTTATTACAAATCCTCATGCATTTTTTTCCCAAGTATCAGTCATTGGGTTGATTAATTAGAGATCATGCATTGTGTATCATTCACCTTTTTATTTGACCATTTTCTGTTGGTTACTGTAGGCAAAAGGATAACTTGTAACAGACTTCTCATTTAGGAGTGATTGCATACCAAAATAACTGGTTACAGAACCATATAATTTCCAAGTCTTACTGCTGAAATAACTGTAGTATCATAAATCTAATAAATAAAACTTAAATAAAATAAAATACTTAGCAGTACAGTTATGCTTTTGTTAAAATCATGGGGTACATATGTTGATTTGATCCATAACTACTTGTAGGCAGATTTTATTATTGATTTGGTACTGCAAGGTGTAGATGATGTCAGTTGCTCTTCCCCTATCCACCAGTGCTGTGACTCCACCACAGCAGAAGGCCACCCGATTTGTCAGGTTCACTCTCTGCCGTTAGTGAAGTCATGTTGGCTGTCACCAATCACCTCCTTATTTTCCATGTGCCATAGTATAGTTTACAGGAGGCTCTGCTCCATGATCTTTCTAGGCGCTAGGTGAGACTGACTTGATCTTACACTGAAAATAACTGTATACAGTCATTTTAAAATATATATTTAGTATATGTAACTTACTGCTAATTCTCCAGTGCCATACCTCAAGGAAAACCAGTTGTGCAGACAGATGCTTTATATTTTTTCCTGTGATCTCTTAAGCTCACTTAGGTGTGAGTGTTTTCAGATCATAATCTGATCCATGCAATGGTGTTTGTTTTTTTTTCCTGTTACAATTCTCTTGTAGTTAGCTTTCTTACTGTACATAATGAATCTTCCCTTCAAACTGGCATAATTTATGTTGATGGTTCCATAATTAGATTGTTTTCTTTGACTATAGCAATAAGAATAAAATGCAATTATGAGCACAAAATTCTAAAACCCAGAAATAATCTAAACATAAGACTCAGATGAGTTAAATGACTTGTGCTTTTAGTATTATGTCCTAGATATAAGGCCCTTAATATCCTTTAAAGAAATATTTGCTGGCAATTGCTATATATCTCTAATTATTATTGAAACTGCCATGGTTTAGTTGCAATTTGATTATTCTTACATAATTTGATTGCAGTGCATACCATTTTAGTACATGTAGATTTGCTTGAAATATGCAAATGATTCAGGTGTACTTCAAAGTTGCCTGAGGGCCCTGGGCTGTGCTATCTGTTTCTCAGCCTTTCTCCCTGCAATTCTACGTGGAATCACGTAATATCACTGCTTTCCCAATGCAGAGCTCTGCAACAAAGAATACTGACATAGCTAACACCAGTGGACTTTGCAGGATATGCCAATTAAGATGGGCCTGAAGATCAGCCAGCAACCTTTGCACTGTTGCGGATGAAGTGTGCTCATGTATTATTTTTTTTTTCTGTCTTGTTACCAGTGCAGGAAGAAGTGATGGAAGTCCATGATAAAGTTGAAAAGATAACAGTAGCTGCTTTGATGTTGAGAGTAGCTGGTCTTTGACTCCTGCAACCATTTGTGCCAATTTAGTTCCCTCAATTCACTGAGATTTGTGAAATCTGTATTGCTGGGATTTCTTGTTTGTTTGCTTGCATAATTGAATTATCAATTTCTCAAGTGTGGATTGGTATGTGCTTCACAATTAAGAGGGCAAACAAACACTGCCATTATTCATATGTAACCATCATTGCTAATGTTTTTATGAAGTGTATGCTTTTTTTCTTTTAACTGGAGGAAGTAGTACATGCATGAAGTATTTGGTTGATATTTCAGGAATGTATTCTAGGTTAGAATTTCCGAGCAAAGTAGTTGTTAGTCTGCATGGGTTGTAGTAGATCTTTGTAAGTAATCTTTTTAAGATCTGTGCAGTAAAAATTATTTTAAACATGATTACTTCTGTAAGCTTGGAAGTATTCTTACATTAACCTGATCAATCATGGTACGTGGGACATCAGTGCACTTCAGCCTGTGTTTATATGCTTAGTCTTATATTAAATATAAGACTTAACCTTATATTAAATATAACTGTATATTAATAACTGTATATTAGTAATTGCAGTTTGCTCAGTGAGAAATGTATGTATTCATTTTCACTACTTCCACAGAATTTTTTTTGTGGACAGATATAATGGCATTGGCATGAACAGCAGAAGCAAACTCTACAAAGCTGTCTTACTTTATGAAGTTTTGTAGAAGACTTCCACTGTGCTTTGAGGGGATTTTCATTTTTCTACTAGTAACTACTTGCCCTTTCCTTTTTATGCCACCTTCCAGTTTCATGGGGATCAATAAATGCCCTCTAAGTGTTGTTAAGTTTGGCTGAAAGTGTTAAAATTCAAAGGAATACTTAAACTACTTGTTTGTACATTGTTATATGTTCTTGTGATTTAAATGTATCCCAGGTATATTTTCTTTCTGCTGAAAAGGCTGCAGTTTGATGTGAGGTTTCTAAGCAGTTTGACAATACTTTGAATACTTTGAATTCTGAACTGGGTCTGGCATCAATTTTATTTCCCATTCTCCCTTCTTCTCTTTCATGGTGTTGTAAATGCTGAATTGCTCCCTGACTTACCTGACTCTCATGATTGACTGCTCTGGAAATTTTTTTTTACTTGGCAGCAATAGTTAACTCTTGGACAATAAGTATTTGCCTTCTTTGAACAACCCACATTCTACAATACCAGAAAGATCTTTCACGTTTATTTTCTTTTTTTTTAAAGAGCAACTTCTCTTTCATAAATATGCTGGTGCTATAGGACCACTATTTAAAAGGATGCCCCCTTTTCTTTGATAATTACTAAGAAACTTCATCCTCTATGGGTTTAACTTGACACCTTTTCAAATTTTAGAAAACAATGATGGCATCATCTCTGGGTAATTCTTATAGTAGTGTGTGTTGTGTTTTTTGCTTGTTTGTTTTTTTTTTTTTCAGATTTATTAAGTAGATGGGAAGATCTGTAGAATACAGGATGTTCTTTTTGACATAGTTTAGGTAATTTGTATATCATTACAGTTAATTGACAAGCACGTGATTGAGACTTTAATATTGTCGTGAAAAAAAAAAAAGCTAGATATGCTAAGAATAGCTTTGAAGTTTACCACACTACTTATTCATGGATATATGGCTTGAATTTCCTCTTTTACTTAGAAATGATAGTATTTTCACTACTTCCTGTACATATCGTAACTCTTTAGATTAAAAAATAAAATAAAATTATTCGGGCTTCCATTTCTTCTTTTGCATAATGCTGTAATGTGAATACAGCTGTCTGTAGGGGAAAAATACAGTAATACACATAATGTGTGCATGCCTTGTGTTGGGAAGCAACATAAGTCTTTTCTAATTCAGTCTTAATCTTTGATCTGTGAGTAATTGAACTGAAGGAATACATTAATTGACAGACTGTTTCCACTCAAAGTGTTACATTTTTTCTTTTGTATGGCTATGACAATACTGCAGTATGTCAGAATGATGTTTTCTGGAAGCCATTGCTTGAGAATCACTCTCGGATCCATTCCAACAGGTCTTTAGAAAATGTTTGGAAGTTAGGCGTACTCATTTTGTTGTACAAGTTTGAGAGCTTTACGCAGATTATGGATTTCTCTTAATGGAAAACAGAGGCTGAAAGTTTTTACTAGCTAGGCATATGTAATTAATATGACTTTCCAAGTCATGAAGTAGAAACTTTTTAAAAAGGGACTTCAGGAAGTTGAAGTGTTTCAGTGTGCCTTACTGTGCTGCTGAATGGTGTATCCTGAGACACTTCAGATCTTGGGTCTGTTTTTGTTGCACTGACTGCATCCTTGTTTTCTGTCAAGATAAGAATGCTAAAATGGAAATGGTTGAAAAAGCAAAATAAAGACACAAATCAAAAACGGGGGGAAAAAAAAAAGCAATTCTTTCACCACTATATAAAGTTCTTTTTCCCCAGATAATTAAAAAGAACATTTGTTTACATTTTGAGGAAAGTGGTTTCACTGAAATTTGGGAGAACATTCTAACTTTTCCTAATTAGAAAAAAAATGTCCATGAGGAAAATGTTTCCCACACATTTCTTTACTGGTCCACTGGTAAGATTGCTTAGATTGTAAGATTGTAACGCTTAAAACAGTTGATTATATGCATACATATGGGTGAGCATGCACTCTTAAACTGTTCGGTTTTGTAGCTGTTTCCTAGAAGCTATTCTGACAAGGTTAAACAGGAGGTTATTGTAGCAGGTTTAAATAATCAGAACAGGACCATACTTTGAGATAGCAAGTAATTAAGGCATCGTGTTAATTTATTCTGCCTCAACTTAGTTTTTCCATATGTGTTCCTGAGTTCCTTAAATCTCTGATTTCCCAAGGATTTCGATACAGGTGAAGGAAGGAAATTCAGTATGTCTCAGCTACTCTATAGAAAAGGGGGGTGGGAAACAGAAAAGAAAGTAAGTCGTGTCTAGTTTTGAAAGTAGTCTGTAAATCTTTTATTTCATTCTTAACTGTGACTTGGACATATGAATGCAGGTTGCAGGAGGAAGACTGAAGAGTAATTAAAATGTTGTTCAGGTCTTTTCAAAGGTTTGTGACAGGTCTCTATATGGATCCTCAATGATTTATTGTGACACTGCTAGTACAAATGTAGTTGGAGAAAAAGGTGCTGTAACAATAGGCAACCATCACAATTCTGTGTGGTGGAAGGTGCCTTGTTATCTTATTCCGATATTTCTCTAGACAACTTCTGTGCTGTTGTAGAATATCATCAGATTTTTCTTTCTTTCCTGCATTCAAAATATTTTTAAACTTTTCAGAACACTGTACATTCATGGCCATACGAAGCTGGATTTCATGGTCTGGTATACTGCAATTGAAAAAGCAGCGGGTACAGATGGTAATGCGTTACAAGATCAGCAGCTCAGCAAAAATGATGTTCCTATTATAGTGAACAGCTGTATAGCATTTGTTACACAGTATGGTAAGTATAGTAGTTTTTATTCAACCTAATATCATTTGTATAATACCTATACAACAGCACCTTCAGATTTTTTTTGAATAAGTTTACATATTACCCAAAGTAAAACCAGATCTCCGGTTAGTCCCAGCGTTCCTTGATGTGATGGTGAAGTACAGTGCCATGCATCTGAGAATAAGCAGTCTGTGGAAGTACAGCTTGAGAAATCTCACTCACAGACACGTTTATATTTTTAAAATTGATGCCGTTATCTGATGTATCTCAGCTTTTGGCTCCCATGCCTCAGTGCAGAGCACCTTAGCCCTAAAAATAAGCTTTTATGAAGCAGGAACAGAAATGGCCTGATCATAAAATGTGAAAAACTGATAGTAACTGTGAAATCATGTTCAGTATTAAGGCTGCTGTTTTTTTTAGAATAGGAGCCTAAGGAGTTGTTTTTTGCTTAAGTAAATATTGCCAGCATAATTTTCCATAGCATTAGATCATATGTAGATAGTGTGTGTGTTGTTTTTACTGCTGCAGTTTAATAAGTTATCTTGTGAAATACTAAATACATACCAACCTTGTAAAACCTGTCTTCAGGATAAATGTGTCTGTAACCTCTGTCAGTATGAGAAGGCCTAGTTTATATTTCATTGATTGAAATCTAACTAAATAACTTTGAAACGTGGCAACACAGCATTATGGTAAATAGTTGTTTGGGTTGCAGCTCTCGTCAAAAAACATTAAAAAGTATTTGCTACATTATTTTTTAACTAATAGCACTAGGAATAATTCTAACTATACTTTATGCTGTTTCATGCACAGAAATGTTGTTAAAGCAGGGTAATGGTGACCCCCAATCAGAAACATTGCTAGTGTATGTTATAGATTAAAATTTAATTTCCTGATTTTATTTTTTTTTTGAAACATGGGAAGTCTACATCTATAGATTATTTTATTTTATTTTATTTTTTTTTTCCCCAGGATCAGGGTTACTGAGTGTTATAGGTTTCATTTGAAAGTTGAAGGAGTTGTATGTATGCATTATTTGTAGATGTATGATTTTCATCATAATCAAAGCTTTGTCTTCCATTGTGGCCTGCAGGTGACTGACACTATCAGGTGCCACAGCTGTTCCTGACAGTAGGAACACAAGGGTAGTATCAAACAATAGTGCTTGTGGACATCACAGGAAGGGTGAATTGCAAGAATGTAAGACATGATTTCATAGGTTTTGACAGAATGCTGCTATATATTTGACAAATGCATAAGGAAAAAAGAATTTCGCTATAAAATGATACCTTTTTCAAGTGTGGAGAAGACAGGAGAAACTTCTCCAAAGAGAAACAAAGCCAAATAATGGGAATGTACATCTATATCAAATTTCCACGTGCTATATTCAATAACTTGACTGTGTTTTAGGCTATATTTTTATTTAATTACTTATTTTTTAAAGTTGGATGTGGTGTTTTCAGTCATGAAATACAAGAATACTGGTTGCCTGGTATTTTCCTTAACCTGAGGAAAATCGGAAAACAGGAACAGTATCTTGAGCCTTTTAATAGAGACGTGCGTCAGGTTGGATGAATACAATACTGAGTCCAAAGCAAAGCTAAACTGTAGGGGAATAAAATAGTGGGAGTACTAGTAATGAAAGGATTCATGTTGCTTGTGTAGATGACATCAGAACTTCTCTCATTAATCGTGCCTTTTCAAACCATTGATTTAGGAAGTCACTAAGAGATCTAGGGATTTGAACAGCCTGTAAAGCATTCCTGAAACTGTGATCCTAGGCTTGCTTAAGTTTATGATGTGTGTATTTACAAAGATGTCTGGTTGGTTATAAGCAGACTTGGCAGTGTTTTCTCTAACAAAATATGTATGTGGAAAGGGTCAGAAAGATACTAGTAGGAGATGTGATCTGTTTGACTGCCAGACATGCTTTTCATGTAATAAGGTTTGAATTTTTAGAAGAGCACTCAACTTTATAGATACTTATTTTTCTGTCCTGTATTTCTGTAACCTAGGTTTAGGGAGCAAGCAGATCTACCTCAAGAATGGCAATTCTTCTAATGTGGCTGAACTTCTGGAAAGTTTCAAAAAAGATGCAAGGAGTGTTAAACTAAGAGCTGGGAAACATCAGCTCGAAGATGTGACTGATGTATTGAAAAGTTTTCTTTCTCAAATAGATGATGCTCTTCTCACTAAAGAACTTTATCCATTCTGGATTTCTGCATTAGGTAATATTTGCAATAACACTCAATACAAGAAAGGTTGGTTGTAAATACTCATTACAAAATCTGGGGGTTTTACTAATTACTTGTCTGTATTTTTTGACAATCTGCGGAACAGTTGTAGCAGATAAAAATGTTTACAGTTTGGCTGAAGTAGACTCCTGTTATCCAATAAATCAAAACATGGCTCATTTGGTTGTTTTTGGAGAGTGCTAGCGATCAACTGCAAGAGATGAGGAGTTTGTCAGTTTTTCTTTTTCAGAAATCTGAGAGAAATAAGGGACTCAAAAGAACATGTTTAAAATAAATTAAAAGGCATTACATAAACTTTGCAATTGCCCCAGTTGTGATTATTCTCTGTAGTCTCTGTGCTCAATGCAACACAGAGGGCAGACTTAACTTAAAGGTAGAGAGCTGTGGCTATGTCTCAAATGCAAATTCCCAAGACTGGAGTTTCTATCATTGTCTACTACTGTTTCACTTATGTAGCTTTGTACAACTTTATTACTGCTCCCTCTCCTCTGCTGTCCTCTTACTAGTCTTACATATTTATATCTGTAAACTACTTTGGAACTTGAGACATTTCTTCAATAAAAATAAAAAAGATGAAAAGTTATTTTTGTTTCTTACCTCTGGGCACTATTAAAGTAGTATCTACAAGTAGCATCTACGTATGTAGGTGTACACACAAATTGCAAAGTTAAATATCCTTTGAGAGGAAAGAGCAATTACTTTCATAGAATTTAGTCTTAAGCATGAGTTCCTGCAGTTTAAATATAGAACTGTCTTATTGCTGATACTATTTCCTTGATCTAGTGTATAATAATAGACTTTGTTAATAGTAGGTTGTCAGTATAGTCTTCATGAAGAAAAGGTTGGTTGATAAACTAATTTTAAATGACTAGATGGTGCAGAAACAGTTAATGAGAACTGTTGTTGGTTTTTGGTGTACATTGTTATTAATGCTCAGTGATTATTTTTTGGCAGATATGCAGAATGAAAAGGAACGTGTAAGGAAATATGGAGCTTTCATTCGGACACTTCCACCAGTCAATAAGGCAACTTTGGCTGCATTAATTGAACATCTTTACAGGTAAATTCAAATGATAGAATGTAGCAGAGAATTTTTTTGTAATGTGTTCTCAGTATAACTCTATCAAGAATGAAATTAGGATTGTTTCATCAACTAGTAAATATTGAGCTTAACTTGTGCTGATTAATTATATTTAATAGCCTTTAATTTATGACGTGTTTTTTCTTCAGTTGCATTTTTAGTAATAGATAACTATACCGGGATGGAAATTCGTTACAGTGGTAGAGGGCTGCCTATATTTGTGTCTGAGCAGGGTAATTTTTGATGAATCTTCTTTAGGTGAATTCATTTAATTCCATCTGCTAGCCTAGGATTGTTGCAAATGGTTCTTGAGATTAAAAGGTTTTTTTTTGCAGGGGAAATGTCCTTCTCCACAATCTACATTGCAAATAGTAATTTTGATATTAAAAGTCCTTCAAATATTTCAGCGCTGCTTCATTTTGCAACTGAGGTATTTGTGGAGAATATCCAAAATACAGAGTTGTTTAAACAACAAAGGTCTTTCCTACTCCTAGATCAAATAAGCAGTATCAAGTATATAAAAATAGTGTGACTTGGATGATTTTATAGAGTTAAATGCAGAGTTTTGCATTGTTAAGTAGGAATGTATTATACTATAAAGTACATAAGAAATACATAAGAAAGTATTATACTATAGTGGCTATTTAACAAGCTATATTGTTTTTCTGGTAAAGTAAATATTTTTGAAATGCACTCCATGTTCTATAGAGAAGCTTTAAACAACCAGGGGAACAATGGAACCTTCTAAATATACTTATTTTTCCTTCAACAGGGTGCAGAAATGTTCTGAAATCAATCATATGAACCCTCACAATCTAGCCATGGTGTTTTCTTCATGCTTATTTCAAACCAAAGGCCAGACTAGTGAAGAAGTCAATGTAATTGAAGATCTAATTAAAAATTATGTGCAACTTTTTGATGTAGGTATCTTTATTGAAAGTAGCCTGACTGCTCTGCTATTAGACATGCTAAAATATAGAAATCTTAAAGTTAGAGATGGTCTGGTATTCACTATACTGTCTGAGGAGTTGCAGGGATGTTGAACTCTAATTCAGTGGACATGGTTAATTGCCTGCTTTAAATTTCATTTTCTAGATAGCTTAGTCTGTGTAGGAATTGCTATATTTATAGGATTGCTGTGAGATATCATTTTCCAGAATGGTGCACGCTTTTCTTGCTGACACTGCTGACAATCTTAAGAAAATTTTGAGATGATAACTATTAAAAGTAATACTTCAATTCAGTTTTTATAGCTATGGTCAGAACTGAAGCATGGAAGAACTCCAGTCTCTGAACTGTGATTACAGTAAGGATTTTAGAGAAAACAGTGTTGGGTTCCTTGGGCCTTGAAGGAACCAAAAGAATACTGAATCCAACTGGATTGAAAAGATACTACTAGAAGCAATTTGTCATAGCCATTTTGGTTTAGAGTATACTGTATCACTGTAACATTCTGTGTGGCAGTTTTTAATGGAATCCTCTCGTAATGTGTATTGGTAAAGTTTATCATAATGATCCCATTGCTGACTGACTATTTTTGACTGCTTGGCACAGCTGGCACAGCTCACTATATTAGCATAATTATTTGTATTCTTAGTAATTTTTACTCCTCTTGTATTTGTATTTATCAGTTTATTACATTGAAATAGTGTTTGCTAGTTAATAGTATAATTTTTATACTAGCTTATAGTTATTAACTGAACAAAAATGATCAAATTTAAACAGATAAATGAAGACCAGGTCAAACAAATGGATATAGAGAACAGCTTTATTACCAGGTGGAAAGATACTCAGGTAAGTGGCTAAAATAAACTGGTATGCAAATACTTTTAACAAAGAGTATTTAGTTGTTTATAGATATTTTATTTTTTTTATATATACCTTAATATCTAAATATATATTTCTGGGCTTACACAGTGACTAGTGTTGTTAACTAAAGAACTAAGGGACATATGAGGAGGCATAAAGTGCGAAGGCAAAACAACTTTGTGTAAAGCATACTGTGGAATTATCCTAGTGTTCAGGACAGAACATAACTTACAAGTGGTTGTGTGCTTTTGCTATGTTACATAAATTGTAGTAGAAGGAAATGATCAACATTTACAAGTGTGAAAATGATGACCCATCATGTGGAATTTTAATTGTGCATATTAAAAAAATTCAAGTGTATATTAATACTTCTATTATTTCATGACCTTTGGGTACATATTGTCTCTCTTTGTTAAAGAATGACAATCCCTATGAGTTTAAAGCATCTGAATCTTTTTGCTACATGCTGTTTTATGACCACATATGGAGCCTCAAAGTATAAACATTATTGTGGGATGCTTCAAACGCATACAAACATGGTTACTTGAATCAAATTGAACTTCAGGAAACAATATACAAAACCAGGAGATCTTAAGCTGCTTAATATTATAGAGTTGAGTCTTACCTGAACTCTACTCTTACTTTTGAATAAAATGAGAATTGGTAAGAAACAACGAAGTGATAGTATATTTCACTGTCTGAATGGCTTTTGTGTGCAATCCTAATTAAAGCAAAAACTGTTAAGCTAGACCAAGATAGGTCATTGCCAGAGGTAAAGGGGAGTGTAGGGTGCTCACAGACTTCTTCAGGAATCTGAAGTAGTCGAGGAGAGTCTTGCAGTAGTTCTGGAGCATATGGGGCTTTAAAAATTAATACAAAGGTAACAGAAAAAAAGTAGGGCTGCCTGAACCCTACCAACAAGTTTTGTTGTAGTTTTAATTATGTCTTTGAAGAAAGGAGTTTTGCAGATCCACATTGAATGTTCTGTGCATTGCTGTCTTGAGTCATTTTTTTCATATTTCCTTCTTGTCTGGGTTAGAGTGCCATGAAGTTTTCTAACTGTGGCACTGCTGTGAATGTGTGTGTGTAAAAAGTAGAATGCCTATTTCTTCCTTTTGGTGCCTGACAGAGAGTGGCCTAGTCACTGGGAAATATTAAGTTCATTACTAGCGTCTCTTGCAGAGTGGAAACATCTGCCTTGATAATGTAACAAAACAAAAAACAACACAGATATTCTCTAAGAGCATTCTGCAAGGTAGAGGGTTAAAGTATGGAATGTATTAATTCCTGGCTACATAAAAAGGACCTTTTACTGATATTTGTGAATAAAATCTTGAATGGTGGAAATGCAGACTTTTAAGTATATTACGTTATTTTGTATGCTCTTTAGAACAACAACAAAGAAATAATGTTACAGCTTTGTTACATTATTTACATTTTCCTGGCAGCTCTTGGGAAGCTTTCATGGTTAAATGTTCATGATACCTTTGGAGAAATTAGGAAGACCTGAGAGAAGTTTTATGGGTACAGAAAGGGACAGTAAAGACACATTAATTAGATACGGAGAAAAAAAAAGGAAAGTAAACTGAAAGGCTGCTGAGTCACTTAGTAACTTACGAGCAACTGCTGGTTAGGTGCGTTTGGCTAAAACTGGGGCTACAAGGAGTATAAGAGAAGAACCATTTAAAATGGTTTTGTTTGGTATTTTCTCCACCCCAGGTAACACTGTAAAATCACCTTTATGAGGTGTATTGCATTTGGAAGGCTGCCTATTGAAGAAAAAGAGACGTTTGCATTTCTTTTTTTAATAAATCTCTAGGTTTTCTAAAATTGCCACCGATTTTAATAAAAAGCTACCAGCAAAACTAGTCTTTATAGTTTAAAACTACAGTATCAAATTGTAAACTTCATGAATAATAGGGCTTGTTTGGATTGTTGGTTTCACTAGGGCTATCCAAGTTGATGGGAGGTGAAGCTATAGAAAGATTGAATTGGAATTTTAACTCTCCTTATTTTGATCACAACAAATTCTCTACTGTTAATAATCATCGTTCTGAATTAATGGTTGCACCTGCTCTATTAACAGACTCAGTCTTGATTCTGATAATACACATGGTTAAGCTTTAAATTCTTTACCAAAAACAGTATCACTTTAACCTTAAAGATGAAACAAATCCTATTCAAACAAAATCTATCTCATCACAGAATTGTCTAGGCTGAGACCACGTAGTCTAACCTTTTTGTTCATGCAGAATTGCTAAGAACACCTTGCCTTGGACCATATCTAGTTAGTTTTTGAATATCTCAAAGGATAGAGACTCCACAGTCTCTCTGGGCAACTTATTCCACTGCTTGACCACCTTCACAGTTAGGACAAAAAACATATATGTAAAATTGAATTTCACGTGTGTTTTTCAGGGGGGTGGGGAACACACCACATTTGTGCCCATTGCCTCTTGTCCTGTCACTGGACACCTTTGAAAAGAGTCTGGTTTGTTTTTCTTCATTCCTTCCCATTAGATGTTTGAACACATAGTTAAGATCTAGCAGTAATTTACCTTACTGGTACTGAGCAGCCCAACACTGAACACAGCACTTCAGTACTGGCAAGGCCACACCTGAGTAGAGAAGGATCACCTCCCATGACTTGCTTGTAGTGCTTCGCTTAATGCAGCCCTGGAGGCTGTTTTCCTTTTCTGCAAGGGTGCAGTGTTGGATCATTAATGTTGAATGATAGAACATCAAGGACCTTCTCAGCAAAACTGCTTTCCAGCTTGTTGCCCCCTAACCAGTGTGTGCTGGTACTCCTCCCCAGTTGCAGGACTTGCATTTCCCCTTGTTGAACTTCATGAGATTCATCTCTGTCCATTTCTTTAGCCTGTTGAGGTCCCTCTGAATGTATCAGCTAGTGCTCCCAGTTCAGTAACATCTGCTAACTAGCTGGGGATGTGCCCTGTCCCATTATCGAGGTCATTAGTGAAGATTATTGTACTCCTGACTTCTTAGACGCTTTTTAGTCTGTCTACTTGTTTACTCTGTATTTTGTATGCTTGTCTGTAATGACGTTATGGCAGACACCATTGAAGTTTTTACTAAAGCTGAGGTAAATACTGCTATCCTTTCATTCGTTTGTGTCTTCACTGTATAGGGCAATTGGTTTGGTCTGAGGTGAGGCTGACCAGCCTGTAGCTTTCTGAATCTTCCTTCTTGTCCTTCTTGAAGATGATATTGACAGTTGCTCTTCCCTGGTCTTCAGGATCCTCTCCCAGTTTCCATGACTCTTCAAAAATAATTGAGTCACCTTACCGTGACATCATCTAAATCCCTCAGCATTCATGGGTGCTGTTTGTCAGGCCCCATGAACTTACATATATCCATTACTATTTAAGTGTTACTTAATCTGGGCCTCCTTCACCGAGAGTAAGTCTTCCTTGCTCCAGACTTTCCCTCTGGACTTAAGAGGATGGGATTCCTGAAGGTTGGAAAGATGGAGGCAAAGAAGGTGTTGAATACTCTGGCCTTTTCCATGTAATTTGTCACATATTCCCTTGCTCCATTCAGCAGCAAGCCCATGTTTTCCCAAGTCTCCCTTTTGCCATTTATGTACTTGTAGAATCCTTTCCTTCACATCCATAGCCAGATTTAACTCCAGGTTGGTCCAGCTTTCTTTTCTAACCTTATTCCTGCACAACTGGCTGGCAGTTCTACATACCTCTTGGGTTGTCTGCCCCTACTCCTAACTCTTGTATTCCTTTGTGTGTCTAAGTTCAGCTTATCCAGCCAGACTTCATAAATACAAAAAGAATAATTTGCAGTGCTTTCTAGTACTTAGGATGGCCTTTCACTGCTGCCTCTGAAATTTTATGTTATTATATAGTACGCAACTGTCAATTTTTTTTCTCATTTGTTCTTAACACATTGCTAGAATTGTCAGCTTTTAGTTTCAGAGAGAATATTTGTACAAATGGAACTTTCAAAGCTGAAGAAAATGTCACTTCCTACTTTAGTTTAAGGGGAGAGAAAGAACTAAAAAGAAATGGACTAAGAGTTGCATTTAGATGTACGACTTTGAAAATCTATTTCTTTTCATCCCATGAGGAAAAAACAGTTCCTCAAAGGATGCAGTAAATAAGTGCTAAATACCTAAAGTACTAGAGAGTTTCAACTGGACTGGAGAGTTTGTGGGCTTGGTGTACTGCATATAACATATCAGGAATAGTGTAGCCAGCAGTACCAGGGAGGTGATTGTTCCCCTGTACTCTGCTCTGGTGAGGCCGCATATTGAGTACTGTGTTCAGCTTTGGGCCTCTCAGTACAAGAAGGACATTCAAGACCCTGAACGTGTCCAGAGAAGGGCTACGAAGCTGGTGAAGGGCCTGGAACACAAGTCCTGTGAGGAGCAGCTGAGGGAACTGGGGTTGTTTAGTCTGGAGAGGAGGAGGCTCAGGGGAGACCTTATTGCTCTCTACAACTACTTGAAAGGGAGGCGTGGGGAGCTGGGGGTCGGCCTCCTCTCTCAGATAACTAGTGATAGGACTAGAGGGAATGGCCTCAAGTTGTGCCAGGGGAGGTTTAGGTTGGAAATGAGGAGACATTTCTTCTCAGAAAGAGTAGTCAGGCATTGGAACAGGTTGCCCAAGGAAATGGTGGCATCACCATCCTTTGGCTGTTTAAGGTTCAACTTGGTGCTTAGAGACATGGTTTAGTGGGTGATGTTGGTAGTAGGGTGGTGGTTGGATCAGATGATCAGTTGAAGGTCTTTTCCAACCATAATGATTCTATGATCGCTGACATTTTACCTAATCACATTACCCACCTGCGTTCTCTGTAAATGTTTGCTCTATTTAATGCTGCATTTCCAGATAATTTTTAGAGAAAGTTCTGTTACACTACAGCTATGATATCTGTCTCACCATTGTGCTTTTTTTTTTTTTTTTTTTTTGCATGAAGTCTTGCATTTGTGTACCATGAGGAACCATGAAAGTCTGAACATCTTTGGTGCATGAGAGCTAACCTTGCCTGAGGTGCACTTCTCCACAACTTTACAATCACTTTGAATAACTTAGAACCTATTTGTTATGGCACTGGCTTGGAAAAGTGAATTCAAATTACTGCCTCTGGGCTCATCCTCAGTATATCCTGGATGAGTTTTTGATAAGACAAACGAAGCTCTTCAGCTTTACCAAGGTGGCACCAAGGAACCTTGGGTACCACGTTTAAATAGAAAAAGCTAATTTCTTGGGCACACATGTACATAAATGATTGTTTTAAGGTTTGCTACTGTGAAATTAAAGACCAAAAAATCTGGTTAGTCCCTTTTTGCATTGCTCAAGACCTTATGCGAACAAAAGATTTATATTAAAGTGGCAAGCAGAATGGATTTCCATATGAACCATTACGCAAAGGAAGAATGCATCAGAAGTACCTGTACATTGGAAAATCGCAAAGTGAAAAAGAAGCAGAAAAATAGGCTTTTAATGAAAAAACGTTACAGTAAATTACCCCCTCTTCTTCTTTTCTATAAATATTTTACCATTAAGTTTTAATAGACATCTTATGCTATATTATTTGTATTGTCTAGGCAAAATGGATGTTTGCTATAAATTGTGTGCATTGATTTATAGCTTTATGCTTTAAAATGGACTCAATTGGGAAAAAATGGAAAGTAGTATAGAAGATAATTGACTTCTCTGTTTCTCGGACAGGACAGTGATCCTAACCAAAAGCTGTCATTGATGTTTCTCTCCCTACAAAGATAATAAGTAATGGAAAATTCCTAGAACAAAATTGGTCACTAAGGCAGTTTAAAATTGGGCATCTGAAGTAATTCCTACTTGAAAAACATCAGTTTTCACTATTTGTTACATGTTTCCTCAATCCATTATGAGGAAAATAAGTAATTGAGCTGCTGGATTATATTAATTAATCTTTGTCAATATTGTATCAGAAAACATGAAATGGTGAGTTTGAGTTAGAAAATTATTTTGGATCTTATCAAACCACTGGTATCTTTACTCTGCGTGGCATTTCCTGGAAGAAGAGTGATGACAAGTCAAGCTAGCAAGTATGAACTCAGGAGACCTTAGTTATTTAGGAGCACTTGCCTCAGAGAGATGATGGCCTTATTCTTTTTAACTTTCTAAACAAGCAGTAGACATTAGAATAAAACTTGTACTTTTTCATAATTGATAAACTGAAGTTTGAACTGCCTTTAAGGTTAGGAAATGCATTCTCTCTTTTCAGTCAGCCTGTTGCCCCTATTTGGACTCCATTCCTCAGCTGTTTTACTCAAGAGCCTGATTGCCATTTGTGGCAATTTGATTGCAGCTATGAACATTTTCCCCCTCTGAATTAAGCAGTGGAACATTTTGTGCCAGTTGCCGATTTTTCTGTAGCAGGCAATTTTAATGCTACTAGCATTTCAATTTAAAAATACATTTTTCTGAAATTCCATCTGCACATAACATATGAAATACATGTGTGCTTAATGTCTGGGACCACTTCAATACAGAAGGGAGTGAGTCTGATCAAAACTGGGGCAATTGCTTTTATTCCAAAGTATTTACTGCCTAAAGCCCCCTGATTAATGAAGCTGCTTCTGGATGGTTACAAGGATGTTTTGAAATTTTATATACAATTTTTCCCAAGAGGAATCCAACATTTCCCTGACTGTGCCTGTTGTCATTAGCAGGATTGGTTGGCAAAATATATTAGAGATGGACCTGGGCTAATACTAAGTTCTTTTGAAAAAGTATGACCTTCCTCTTTATTACGTTTTATAGTATTAGCTTCTATCATGAATACCAAGTGCATATTACTCAGAATTTCAGAAGGCTGCATTATATTCACACACACATTTTAGATTTTACCAGGCTTGTCCATATACTCTTATTTAAAACTGCTGCTGTTTAAAAGGAAGAGCATTTCATTTCCTTCATCAGGCAGAGATGCCTTCATCAATGCTATGACCCTAGCCAATTGCCGTTAACTATACTTCTCAGTACAGACCTGAGATAGGGTTAAGCATCTTCAGAGTAGAATGGCTAGGTGGGACAGTGTATCTTTCTAATATCTTCCAATATTTCAGTGAAATGAAGGAGTATGCTGAAACCTACTCTTCTCAGCTGCTTTCTTCCTCTGGGTCCTTGCCTGTAATCATATAGCCTCTGAGCAGTTTGCAAGGCCATGCATATGCAAGACTTGCATTTGCAGACCATATAGCCTGGACACTGGACTAGCTCTTTGGGAACTTTTTTGGATGTCCTTCCAGCTACTGGTAAAATTGACGACATGGTACAGAGTGGTGGCTGGCAACTTAAATATCAAGCAATTATAATTAAGAATTCTGTGTAAGAATCCTTTCCATTTAACATCTGATTGTCTGACATTATTGCATCAAAATGTACATGTGTTTGCAGGGGAAATCAGTGTTGCGAATACTTAATAGATTTGAGTATATAAGTTGTTATAGAAAAATTATCTCCAGGCTGGTCTTGCAGAATGTTCAGAGAAGAGCAACTAAAGCAAATTTCTGTTGAAGGCCTGGAAGTTCTTATGTCTGAAATGTCATTGCAGTTCCTTTCCAGGTGGCACTTCATTAGCCGCTCTTCATTTTCTGTCCACTATATACTTAGGCCAGCTGTTTCTGTTTGCTGCTGTAATTTACAGCACATTTTCTCTCCATACGGTTGTTTACATGAGCCCAGTGGAAATCAAATGTCAGCTTCATTCTTTTTTTCTAACCTTTCTCTGTAATACCATCTGAAAAGCAAATTTTACAACTAAATGAGCTTTTTTTGAGTCTATGCCACTATAATTAAGAAGCTTTCTTCAAAGTAGCTTTGTAATGTTTTTCCTCACAAATGTTTCCATTAGTTTTCTATTCTCAGAGGCTAAACTAACTTTAACATTCTGGAAAATGGTGACTTTAATGTTTTATAAAATTGAGTGCTGCCATTTATTTTTCCATGGAAATGTAGTTTCAGCTTCTGTAAACTAGTCAAAATGTATCTTAAAGCTTGCCTGTTCTTATCATTTTCTCCATATCTTACTCTGCATATAATGTAGTTTTTACTTTTCTTGGCCTCTTCCTTTGAATTTTGTTAATATGTAAATAAGTAAAATCACTACAAATATTGTTCTCAGAGTTGACACAAATTGGTATTCTTAATGTAAATTTCATTATTAATTTTTTATATTGGCATATTAATAAAAGGATACACCTGCTGAAAAGCCCAGTTTTCTACCTTATTTTTTCTTCCCATGTACTGATCTTCATCATGGTTTTAGTTTTAGAAAGTATTTTTATTACTGGGCTGAATTGCACTCTTTTGAAGACACGTATGATTACATTGCAAGGGAACGTGAGCAGGCAAAGAGCTAGACACTTTTAACTGTATAAAAGTAAGTAATTTCTCATCCAAGAAGGTAATTTTATTACCATAGATGAGCAAACCTAGCAACGAGAGAAAAATACTATATTCTTTCACATGAATTAACTTTTTTTTCCTTGATCATAAAATGGTGAATTTACTGTCTTCTGAGTTTCTATGTAAGGTTCATATTATTCGATGTTCTTAATTATGTATATTAAACTACTATGTAATATATTTTGCTTACGTTTGCATGTCATCTAATTATTCCGTGGTAGCTTTTACATAAAAATTTGGGTATCTGGTCTAAAAAAATCAAAAAGCTATCTTTAATAGAGGTTGATACCAAGAACATGTGTTTTGATTCCTTTTTTAAACATGTGGTGACAAGCTTTCATTGTGATTAATAATCATAAATATAGTCTTCGTAGTAATGGGTCCCAATTATCTGGTTGTATACAAATGACTTTTGGGCTGTAATATTCTGGTATTAGTAATTTTTCCTCTCATTTTTAACTGACTCATTTTATTTTTTGCTGCTGTCCTTTTGTATTTCATGGTCTTAAATTCTATTAATCTGTTTTGGTTCTGAAATGTGCCTGGCTTATTTAAAGCAGAATTATGGTTCTGATGGTTTAGGATACTAATACAGCCTAGTATGTTACCACTAGTGTGCTAGATACTAGTACACTCATGTCAATTTTAAATTTCTGTTTATGTTATGTCATCCGTAGTTTTCCCACTTGAACATATATTGGTTCAGTCTGCTTCTTGAATAAATGAATACTTTGGATTTAGTCAGGGTTTGAATTTTTCCTTTGAATGTGAGAATATAATTTTTCTTTCCTTTTGCTAATGAATGTAGTGCAGACTTTCCAATTGGCATGTACTTGGGGAGTGTTTTTTAGATAAGGGGGAAAGAAGTTCATGTTCAGTAGGTTCTAGCACATCTGCTAAATAATCTTTTTACTTTCCCAGTTTAAAAGATTATTTTAAATATTTGTTAAGACTTTCTTGTATTTTTGTTGTTGCTTTCCTTCAGGTTTCCCAGGCTGGAGATTTGCTGATTGAAGTTTATGTGGAAAGAAAGGAGCCAGACTGTAGTATTATAATCAGGGTGAGAATACAGAAGTGATTTTAACCAAACACTTTCTCATAAAGTATGTAAAATATATTTTCTTACTTACCTTTGTAACTACATATGAAAGTATGATTTTGTATCTATCACTATTATTTTAAAACTATTTTATTATCTGTGTACCTAAATTTTATGAAGACTTTTTAACGTGCATTTTTAAAGAGAAGGTTATCATACAGTTTCAAAGCAGAGACGTCCTCCTTTAGTTTTATTGCAGTAAGCAGTGGTATAAATTTTCATTGTCCTATGGCTGCAACGCAAGTTGCAAATTAATCCAGTGAATGCTGTTCCTTAAAATAGGAATACACATTACTGGGATTAAAGAAAAGCAAAAGAAAAAAAAAAAAGTAATCTATTATTTTTAGTGATTTCCAGCTCTGTGAATCCCAGCATTTTTTATTTTATTTTTTGTTTAGCAAACTCAAGGAGGAAGACTTTAGTGAAAAAAAATCAGAAGACAGTAAGTGTAATACAGTATAAACTGACACGATTTGTATTACAGGTATCACCTTTGACAGAAGCAGAAGAATTAACTAATGATGTTTTAGGAATCAAAAACATTACTCCCAACAAAGATGACATCTGGGCTGCTTTTGAAGTACTTGAAAATGGAGAGCTAGGTTAGTGATTCTTGTTCATCAAATTTTTATCATTTTCAAGATTTAACATATCAAAAAGTTATTTAAAGAGTTACTTAAAATTTTTATAGAAATTAAAAAAAAAAAATAGCTTTCATGCTGTTTTATATCTGGATACTGTGACATCTGCATGATTTCTTTCTAAACTTCGTCAGAATTAATTCAATGAATTGTTTTCAAATGCTTATAATTTGGTGATCAAAAAAAATTTTTGTATTACTTTGGCTTACAGTTCATTAGCCATCAGCTACAGAAAAATACGTCTTGCCAATGAATGACAAGTAAGAAACATATTTTCAATAGGTCAGTAGTTGACTGTATAAGGAATAATGTTTTCCAGAAAACGGAATGAGAAAAATCTATGCAATACTTGGGGAAAAGGACCTTTTTTTTTATTTTTAATTTAGTCAGTTATTTAAGTGTGTAAACAAACAAACAAAAAAAAAAGCATAAGATTGTGTAATCCTGTGTTTATTGCCAGTGGCATTACGTAGATAACACACCCTTGAAACTTTTGTTTTACAGTTCTGCTTCCAACAGAGGCAAAAGTCACAAGGTCACAATGTTCACGTACCATAAAAACTTTCAATGTCGGGATTGGTTTATGCATGTTGGAGCCTGAACTTCATTATTAGAGATATTCAAAATAAAAATTGTGGGATTTGTTGTTATTATTAAACAATTTATTTTGATGAATTATCAGTGTCCCCTGATCTTTGAAAAATACCAGAGGGACAGAAATATACTTTTAGTAAAAAAAAAAAAAAAAAAAAAAAGCAGCCTCTATTAGCGTTTCATGCTAAGTTGCTCTTAAACTGAATGGTCCTGGAACCTCTTTACATCTTACAGTCTTGTGGTGATGCTACATAGACTTGTGACATAGGGTTCATTTCCTGATTCACAGATGTGGGTGTCAACTGACAAACAATGCTAGCATCTGTTATCTTTGGAAGAGTCCTGATGACTCTAGAATTCCTATGTCTTTTGATTGAGTAACGGAGGCTTGAAGAGGGATTTTTTATTTTCTTGATCTTGATATATAACACTGGAAAATGAAAGCTAAACTAGATATTGTCAAGAGAATGTAAAAGGAAGTACAAAAGACAGGACTTACGGCAGATTCTTGGGGTATTTGCATATAACAATCAGTGTTTTAGTGAACTGGAAAGGTTTTTTAAGTTAGTTACTGTGAGAATGGCAAAATTAAGTTAACAGAGAGACACTGCTGGCTCTATATTGGTTTATCAGTATTGTTAAGGAATTCAAATGTATCCTATTCAAACGAGAGATTTACAGAGCACAGTAGAAAATGATATAGCAAAAATAAAACAAAACTTGGAGGAAGTCAAGTCCTAATTCAACACCTACCTCCAAGTAGTCGAGACTATGTTGGTGAAATATCTCCTTCATGGAGGAGGAAGGATTCCTCCTTTTGTGGAGGAATCATCAGAACAGACAAACTAAATGAAAAAAGCTGAAAAATAATGCATATAGTAACAGGCATTTACCAGGGAATACTCCACTGGTATTATGGCTGAATCTGGCAGATTTTCAGAAGCCTGAAACAGAAAGAAAATAACCCGCTCTACTCTGCGCTGGTAAGGCCTCACTTCGAGTACTGTGTGCAGTTCTGGGCACCACAGTATAAAAAGGACATGAAACTGTTGGAGAGTGTCCAGAGGAGGGCTACGAAGATGGTGAAAGGCCTGGAGGGGAAGACGTATGAGGAACGGCTGAGGGCACTGGGCCTGTTCCTCCTGGAGAAGAGGAGGCTGAGGGGAGACCTCATCGCAGTCTACAACTTCCTCGTAAGGGGGTGTCGAGAGGCAGGCGACCTTTTCTCCATTAACACCAGTGACAGGACCCGCGGGAACGGGGTTAAGCTGAGGCAGGGGAAATTTAGGCTTGACATCAGGAGGGGGTTCTTCACAGAGAGGGTGGTTGCACACTGGAACAGGCTCCCCAGGGAAGTGGTCACTGCACCGAGCCTGTCTGAATTTAAGAAGAGATTGGACTGTGCACTTAGTCACATGGTCTGAACTTTTGGGTAGACCTGTGCGGTGTCAAGAGTTGGACTTGATGATCCTTGAGGGTCCCTTCCAACTCAGGATATTCTATGATTCTATGAAAATTGGTTCTATGTAATATTTAATTTAAATATGTCACAAAATAACCAAAAATGAGTCTTTGCTGTTGTTAAGTTGTTCTTACTAGCATCAGCTAACAGGTATCATTGAATGGTACATTATTGAAATCATTTACAGGTAAGTTGTGATTTTAACATGTCATGACAGAAACAAAGTTTGTTTACTTGTTTCAAATGTTCATTAGACCATAGTACATTTATGACATAAATTAATTTTCTGATAGCGTTCCCACTGTAGTCTGGTACCTGTCCATTACATGGTGATACTGGTTCATTGCACTCAATCCTGAAGTTTTATGAGAGTTATGTTACTTTTTTTTTTTAAGACTTACTGCCCTAAGAATGAACCCTGAGAAGTCAGGAAAATTATATGCTTATATTTTGTAAAAAGTAATTTTCTCCTGATATTTATTGCTGCTTAAGACTAAAATGACTGGTTTTGGATATTTACCAGCATATGATGACCTAAGTAAGAGGGTAATTGGATGCATGTGTTGACTGCTTGCTGTTTGAAATACTGAAATTGCAGTATTAAATATCAACTAGATTATTTGCATATAGAAATTTTGAAATAATTGATAATTTTATCTAACCTAATGCAGAATGTACAGTACCATATGCTTTTACAAAATAGGGTGTATATTTTTTTAGTAATTTGTGCTTGATGGATAGCTTGTAAATGAGGTGTGTTGCCAGTAAAATAGCTAATGCATTTCAGCATGATGATTTATGTACCATGTAATCCATGATGACAGATGGTCTTAAATGTAACTATAAATACGACAGTAGGTGTTTACTCTGGGAGTGCTGGTGTTCTAGGAAGATGTGGTGATTTGCCAGTTTCTTGCCTTTGATTTGTCAAGTTACTCTCCTTAAAATGGATTTTTCTTTCTTGCACAAAGGCAACAAGTTGTTTTTAACTTTGTCGCATCAAAGAGTTGACTGTTTCCTAAAAGTTGAAAAGAAATAGAAAAAGTTGGATCATTTAAAGCAAAAGAGCCAGAAGAAATTGAATTATAAAGTGGTGATTGGTATTTTTGTTAGGCTGCTTTGTTGTTATGTCTGAACAACAAAATCTTTATTTAAGTGATATAACAAGTCTATAGGTAAGGTAATTGTTTTGCATTGCAAACCAACCGCTGTTTTTCTCAGCCACTTAGCAGTGTGTTGTTTTGGCTGCTGCTTTCTGGAGCCCTGGTGTTCAGGAAAATGTGTTCTGCTAGAGCATGGTGCTGGACAGTCTCAAAGCAGCTGTTGACATTTCAGACTCATCTACTGTAGCAGAAGTGAAAAATGAGATTATGGCATCATCCTATCCCATCAGTGCCCAAGAGATACAGGGCTAGACTGCCTGACCCTATGTGACAGCGTCACAAAGGCGTGACTTTCCAGGAGTTGTACTCAGCTTTTCTCAAGCGTTGACCCACATAAGTTTGTAAGCAAATGGGAGCTTGGAATCTGTGGAAAAGTCACTTTTTGGAGTGAAAATGCATCCACTGCTCTAGTTGCGTCTTGCAAAGCCGTTGTTGAGGTTTTGTGCTTTCCATAGGTGCTTACTGCTGAGAGTCCTTGGGTGTGTTCATGGAGGAGCAATTATTTAGAGACCGGTACCTTATAGAGGGAAACTGCTGTGGACTCTCTCTCCATCCACATCAGGATTGCCTAGTGTGATACCAGAGACTGCGCTGCAGTGTATGTCGCTTTCATATTTCTGCTGGATCTGGTAATGTGCATTTAGGGCCTGTTAGCAGTGTCTGCCCAAGTTTCACTTGTATATGAACTGTAGTTTGTAGAATAGAGTACTGATTGGGCTTTTGTATCACGCTTCTGTATCACTCCAGTGTTTCAATCCTATGGAAGGGTATCAGGGTTTCTCTTTTTAGGATGGATGTGTCGTCAAATATATGTTTCAGCAACCAGTATGTTAAAGTGCCCTCACACAGTCTAGTCATGCTTTCATCAATTTGTATTTTAATCTTGTTCTCTTCACCTGGGGTTGGGATTTAAAAGTGCAAGTCTGGAAATTCCCCAGCCACATCGATAGGGAGAAGAATCAGTAAAACTAAATGCTTTTCCCTTTCAGTTCAAAGGAATGTAACAAAACGAAGGGTCTGCCTCAGCCTGCTTTGGTCTTTAACAGACAACACAATCTATGCCAGTACTTCTACTTCTTTTTTTTCCATTATGTTCCAAATTAGTTTTCTGTTGTTGTTTTGTGTGTGTTTTTTTGTTTGTTTCTTGTTTAGGTGTGTTTTTTGGATGTGTATGTGTGCGTGTTTTTTCACAGAATGTTAGTAGCTGTGGTGATTGACTGCTGTCTGATTGTATTTACATATTCCCTGTGATAATTTCTAACCTTTATATTAGTTTGAAAAGAGTGTTTTAGTATCTCTACTGAAGGAAATACTACTAACTAAATACAAAAAAATTATTGAACATTTGACTTTTGCTTCTTCAGTTTGATACTCATTACCTAAGCAGATCTTGCCACCAAAGGTGTTGCTGCAGAAAGTCAATGAAGTGCTTAATTGCCTTATTTTGAAAGCATGTTCTCCTGTAGCTTAAAGTGAATGAAACAAGCAGCGCACGTGTAACTTCTAAGGGTCTACAGTCTTGATTTTCTTATTTCAGCTTTTTTTTTTTTTTTTCTGGGCATTTTTCAGAACGTCCACTGCATTATACAGAGAATGTTCTAGAACAGGTTCTCCACTGGAGTTCACTACCAGAGCCTGGCACTGCATATCTGATAATAAAGAGATTTCTAACAACAGACATGATGAAACTCTACAGTGGTATGTATCTTTTGTATATATCCTCTTCTGTTTGTTTTTTTGTTTTGTTTTGTTTTTGTAAATTAGGTATTTCATGTAGAAACACAATTCTGTTATAGATGTCTTAATATAGATTCTTATGTGTTCCAGAACACCCAAATTACCAGTATTTTATAGAAGTTTCCGTTTTACTAAGGGTTATGCTGACTTGTAGAACAAAAAATACATCATTTCTGTGTTTTAGAAACTAAGCTCTGCCATGTGAGTTTACGTAAACAGAAACCCTGCGTTCTGCAGAGTTTGTGAAACGTGGAGCTTGAGACTACTATTTGAGACTGCTTCAGTACAATTCTGCACAGTCCTTCCATATATATACTCTGTCTCTATGTGGGTGGACTATATATGTGTATGTATGTGTGTATATATATACACACAGTGTGCATATTATGTATTAAGTATGTATATTTTTATATAATTATATAAAGTATGTTATAATTTCTGGTATGTGTTCCTATGCCTCCAAGCTAATTTGAGTGACTTAAACAACTGAATGACTTATGTACGGCATGTGGCTTTTAAAAAGGATGAGAAGTTTAGATCTGACACTTGAAAGGAAACACATGTCAAATATAAAGTGGAAAAATAAGATTTACAAGCTCCCCCAGTCATTTTTTTTTTCCCTGCATAATACCTGGAGTTAGATCTCCCATGTAGAAATGTGTAGTATTCGCTCTGAGGGAAGCAGGAGTTTAGAAGTTAAACGTCCAAAAATGACTACCCTGTCATTTTAAAGCAGTTGAAATCCTGTGTGTTGTCACTGTGAAACATGCAATGCTGACTTGTGTTGCCTGGTTTAATGCCCAGCTGATTTAATCTAATGACTTATTCAAATATATAATCACTTTTTCTCTTGTAGATTTCTTACCCATAAACAGAAATATTAATTTCTTCATCAGCATGTCCATTCTGTCTCAATTTCAAGAAGTAAAAGTTACCCTGTTATGCTTATGCTTCTGAAAGTAGTAGCTTTCTTTCATCATTCTCTTTTCCTGCAAAAGCATATTCCACAGATATGAACAAACCTTAACGAGGGTGCTGTACATGGCTTTTATGTTTGAGTTTCACTATCTCTAAATGTGTTGCAGCAGATACTGAATAGAGAGAAATGGCCTAGTTCATTAAATACTTGATATATGAACTCCCATCACCTCACTATGTGTTCATGTATAATCAGAAAAAGGGAATGGGTCCTAAGGACTGTGCACGAACAACTGCTCTGAGAAAAACGTAAGGACGAGGCTAATGTCTGAAGTTCAATTTACAAAATGCAGTTCTATCTAAAAGGGAGGACTGCCATTTGCCCTCCTCCTTCTCTTCTGCTTTCTACACCCATTTGTTCCCCCAACACATTTAAGTAATTGAGTTGGAATCAATTCTTTTCAGTTTGACATTGGTCTAGGCACACTGGCTTTTGATGACTGAATGTTTAAATTTGTCTCATTTTTTGGTATTAAAATAATTAAAACCTTATTAAATAATTTGTGGGTTTTCTTAGTGGTTTGTAGGGAAAAGTCCCTGCCATATTGTTAATTTCTGGTGTTGATTTCTGCAAACCTGATGTAGCAGAGTAATCTCATGTATAACAAAAATCTTTTCTTGAATGTGAAATTCCCATTTTACGGAGCTTTCATACGGTGAATAGGTTTCTAAAGCTTTACTTTTTCTAACTGCTTCTTGTTATAGTAATATAAAGATGTTTAAAATAACAAACAGTTCTGTAGTCATTTCATCTCAGAGGTTCTGAGACTAGCTTCTAAATTTGCTCTGAAACATTAACGATAATGAGGAGCTAATACACATTCATTAGCTTCAGCAAAACAGTGTATGCGTTGTGTTGGCAAAGATGCAGAGAAGTCTGCAGCATTTGTCCACGTTTTGTAGTTGCAGAAATTTACATGTTTATTGTTTCTTATCTTGTACCTGTATATGTACGCTTAAAACAAATAAGTGGTTATTTTAAGTCAAAAAGAGTTTTAGATCAACATTGTATTTGCATCACTAGATGGTAACAGAGTGAGGAAAGATACAGGATCAGGCCATCAGAGTTGGCCTTCAGTTTCCAGGGGGAGATAGCAGCTGGAGCTTTCCATCTCAAAGTACAGATGCTGGCATAGGGAGAGGGAGGAAGACCTTACCCTTGTTAGTCTTTTACCTTCTTTATGTGGGTAATTCGTCCTCACTAACTGAGCAGTAGGACTGAGTTCAGATGTCCAATCAATGCTATGTGAAGTGTGGTTTTTAACAGTGGATTCAGCCCATACAAATGGCTGTCCTCCTTTTCAGTAAAACCAGTAGGGCTGTGATCATATTTATGTTTATAATTGAAATCCATTAATTTCCTTTGTTTCTCTGATTTATGTTAGAATCTTACAGACTAAATTATGATACTTCAGACCTTTTTTCCTCTGTTAATGTTACCTCAGAGCTTTGTGTCATCAGCACTTTTTTTCCTTCCAGAGGCCTTAATATATGAAATAACGTTAGTTCAATAGTGAACCTAGAGGAACAACTCTTAGCCTCATTTCATCCTGGCAACTTACCTTTGTCTTCCCTGTCAGTAAAACTTCCCACATTTCCTTTACATAGTAATTTCCTTTACACAGTACTTTCTCCTTTTTTATAACTCTTTCTCATTTTTTCCATTTTAAACAAATTTATCATGTTGTACAATAGCAAATGTACTGAGGCCTAGTTGTATATTTTTCTCTTGTCTAGAAATCCGTTTTCCTTATCAAGGGAAAAAACAAACACTTCATTTTGTTTCAGTATTTTTAGAAAATTTGTCGTGATTTTTCCACTTTCCTCCAAACCTTTAGCTATTCTCTCTTGACAATTTATTCTATAGCGTTTGATGCTTGTTGAAGGAGCATTGTCTTTCAAGTGCTGTTCAGAAGGGCAGGCTGTGCATTGTATTTTGGTATAAGAGATGCTTAGTATAGTGTAGTTATATTTCAAGACCCTTTTTCTTTTCCTTACATAAAAGTTTACCATATTCAAGCTCTATTCTATATCAAAATGTGAGGGAATAGATCCACTATAAAGTTTGTGTATAGGTACTTGAATTTTTCCTGGGAAAGAATTGTTTAATTTGAGTGGGAAGCATTGATTTCTGAGAACCAGGAGCTATTATTCAGAGAGATTCTTTGAAACGCAAACTTCTGTACTGTATGTGGATCAATCCTGAATGCATTGAGTGCATCTGGTTCCTACTAGCTGCAAAGTTCTGGAAAGCCTTGCATGTTTTGCAAAGTTTATATCTGAAAAATGGTTAGGGCACACCCCAATTATTTTAGATTTATTGTATGAAATACTGGCTTTTAAAGAATACAGAAAATTAATGTAGAGAACTGTTTTTTTTTCTTCTTCAAGCTTTTCAAAGATCTTTCTAAGTATTGATTGTTCCTAGATTTGCTAATGCTGAAAATTTTAGATTTTTTTTTTTTAGAGCTGTATATAGAAATATAAAATACTCCAATTTGGTACAGATTTGAAAGTGTGCTGTATGTTTTTTTTTAAAAAAAATGCTCATGATGTGGATTCATTTTGTACTCTGAACATGAAACAAATAGAGTGGCAGTGAGAGAATATGCTCTTTTTTTTTAACTGTATGTTTGCACAGACAACTGAAGAAATGTAACTTTTGATTTAAGTTTTTGATATGTATTGATTCTTGTTCTAGATTCTATCCTAAACTAATGAAAATACTGGGAAATTTTCTTTTGAGATTTTCTTTTAATGGCAAGCGTGCTGATTAGAATGTAGTTTGGCTTTCTGATTAAATCAAAGTTTAATATCTTTTTTAATTTACAGTATATTTAAAATATGTTTCATAGGTCCAGTCTGCACAAAGATATAAAGCAAGAGGGAACTGGATTCATGATTTTTAATTCTTATTTTTTTCAAATAATTAGGGTTAGTAAGAGGAATAATGTAATTCAGAGTCTTTAAACAGCAGTTTTTCAGCCATTGTGAAAAATGGGATTGAGACAGAACTTTTCAGGCTAGCCCTGAAGTCTCACTACCCTATACAAAAAATAGCAGAATCTTACTCAGTTTCATAGTATAACCAGGTTTTGATACATGCGCTTTAAAGTGTATTTGCATAATCAGATGTTTGAGTCTGATTATTACTCACCTGCTTTTTTGTGCATGTGCAAGCATGCACCTAATGCAGTAAGTACTACATATTTCACTATTGGAATGTTGGTGTTCTTCCGAAATAATCATGTGTAGAATATCTGTCTACAGGTTCTTTAACAGAAGGGTAAAGAATGTAAAGATTGAAGGATTTATTTCCATAATTAAAATATTCATTGTGTCAATATTTAAGAATGCCATCCCTTACTACATAATGAGAGAAAAAAAATAATTGTAGTTTTAGTCTTTTGATAAACAGTAATACTAGGAGCACTTAAACATAGCAGCATCCAGTGTTGTTGTATCTCCTAATAAAAAGCATTTTATTTTCTTGGTAGAGAAAAACGTGAAAGGTAGTGTGAAAGCTGGCTATCTAAAGTACAAAGAAGAACCATCAAAACTACTGTCTGGAAACAAATTTCAAGAGCGTTATTTTGTCTTACGGGAAGGAAACTTGCTTCTTTACAAGGATATGAAGGTACCATGAACTCTTCATCAGTTTAACCATAAAGACTCCTTTAAACTTTCTTTTTCATATAGAAATGAGAAGACAAACAGATAAACACTTATGATACTAAAAAAATATCTAGAACCTTCATTTCTTATGTTTCTATTTCACTGAGGTTTTAATAAAAGGAGATTGTGTCAGTTGTTGCAATATTACAAGCTTTAAAAAACGTTCAGGAATGTCTACAGCTTGTGCTGTGACTTAGGTTTGTGAAAGCATTCTGTAGCAGCAGTAGTAGATGCAATATGAAGCTTAAGTGAGCTGCATGCTGGGTTTTCATGGTATCTCACATAAAGCCTTCAGAAATTACAAGCAACAAGGTTCTTTTAACCTACAAATGTTCTTGATTCATCTCTTCATAATTGAAGAGATTATAGAAAGCAACGTCTCAATACACTAGCAAAATCTCCTGCATCCCAGCAACCTTGTCTTTCCTCTTCGTTACTAAAAAGTGAAATGTGAACTCCTTACACACTTTATTCTCAGTCCTGCAAAAAACAGCATAGATGCTATACCACAGAATCTCACAGAAGCAAGTTTAAGCACACGTAATAGAATGGTGGATTTAATATTTCATGGGAGTTTTCTCTGAAGAGTGCTTTTGGCTGTATGGAATCATTGTTAAAGTATAAAACTATATAATATACAACGTGTACTATGCTAATTTTGAAAATTTCTAGTTAAAAATGTATATATTCTACATTTTAATTTAAATTATTTTAATTTATTTTTGCTGATTGCTGGTTTTGCCCATCCAGCAAATGTGTGGCTTCATGACCTCCATAAAGTACTCTGAGGAATTCTTTTTTAAGACAGAAGCTTACAGATTCATTGCTAAAGTAAACTAATGCAAAAGAAATATTGTTAACTAAAATTATATCCACAGTCTCGCAAGATAAAATGACCACAGAATGTCAAAAATTGTCTCATAATTTACTGGTAGAACTGGAATTGACATGTGAGAATATATTAATATGTCCATAAAACCTTTAATTAGCATCTTGGAAAGAGTTTAAATGATTATTGTGCTACTTTACAATCTGTTTTTTGAGCCATTCTGCTTCATAAAGCATTAAATTCCTAAACTGAGGTGGAGTTTTTGATGGTATTACTTCTAAATGGTTTTGCATTTGTTTTTGTTCTTTAAAAAAAAAAAAGTTTATTTCAGTTTGTTTTACTTTCTTTTGAGAGATGTTGATCCACTACTAATACTTTCAGTTTAATTTCAAGTTATATTTAGAAATGAATTCTAAAAAATGGTTGAGACTGCAGATGGAAAAATTGCATTTAATAAGACTGCATGTGCTAATTAATTTATGAATTCTCATTAACAGCAAATTAGGTTTATATATGCAGGTGGAGATACATTCTGTTAAGTGTTTCTTTCTTATGTTCAGGAGCAATTATCAAAAAAGTAGAAAGCTTGCATGATATTATATGTTCAATTACAATATTGCACTAATTGACAGAAGCAGCATACCACTTTAATGTACTGCTGTTGAGAGAGATGCTTACACACAGAAAAATAGCTTCTTTTAGGTGTATTTTTTTGTGAGAAGTGTGCTGTTGTTTAATTAAATCATACATTTTGTATGGGTGTCTATTCATCTTGGCAGCGTTTTTGCTTTGAGTGGGAAGTTAGATGAGAAGACCAGACATAAAATCCTGTATTTGTTTTTTTTCTTAAATGCTTATGATTCTGGATAGTCTCCCTTTTTTTTCCTCCACAGTGAAATATTAGATACTAAAATCTATAAAGACAGAAAAATTGGGAAGCCAGGACAGTAAAGACTTTCTGTACAGTAACTTTCAGTAACTTTCTGTACAGGGATTACAAAATTTGTTAAATACTTTCTTTAAATAAACCTGAACCACTTGGCCTAGTAGTACTAAAGAGGAGTTACTGTGTTCTGTAGTAGATTTGTGCACTTTTTTTTTTCCAGTAAGACATCCTCAAGGCACTTTAATTTCTCATACCGTAGGTGTATGAGAAATGTGTCTGTTGTAGGTTGGCTGAAGGTAGTTTTTCCAAGAATCACAGGATAACTTGGGTAAGAAGGAACCTCTGTAGTCCAACTTCCTGTTCACAGAAGGGCCAGCAATGAGCGCTGAAAAAAAGTTTCTTTTTATATCCAATCTGAACCTTTCTAGTTTTAAATTATGCCAATTGCATTTCATCTTACCATTGCGTACCACTGTGAAGAGCCTCGCTGATTTCTTTGTAGCCTACCCATAGGTGATACTTGTAGGTTGCTGTTGTGTTTCCTCTAAAGCCATCTCTTCCCCTGCCTGAACAAGCCCAACAATCTCAGCCTCTCGTAACAACTCAAGTGCTCCACCCCCCAACCAGTTTGGTGGCCCTCTGCTAAACTCACTCCAGATTATTGTTCGTTTTCCTCTATCGGGGGACCCAAAACTGGATGCAGGACTGGATGCAGGTGCTGAGGAGAGGGGAGAAAATCTCTTCACCTAGCCTACTAGCTGTGTTTCTGTTGACACAATCCTTCTTCTCTGCCAGGGCATACTGGCTGCCTATGCAGAGATTGCCATCTACCAGAACCCCAAGATTCTTCTCAGAAGAGCTGCTCTCCATCCTGTGTCACTGCAAGGTGCTCTTCTCAAGAGCAGGACTTGATATTTATCCTTGCTGAATTTCATAAAGTTCTTTTTGGCCTGTTTCTTCAGCCTGTATAGATTCCTTGTGCTCCCAAGTGTATTGACTGGTCATATAGGTTGCCATGCAAGCTTGGTGATCAACTCTTCAAGGTCATTGCTGAAGCTGTTAAGAATGACAGGTTCCCAGATCAGTCTGCCACACAGGCCTTGCCACAGGCCTGAAGTTACAGTATATCTGATTAACCATTAGCCTCTGAATCTGATTGTGCAGCTGACATTTTGCCAATAGAGATGTGCATCCACTGAGACCATAACATCCCAGGTTGGGCAGATTATTGTGGGAGACAAGTGCTAGAAGCCTTGAGGTAAATGACAACCATTGTTCTCCCCTTATGCACAGATCCAGTCATTTTATTGTAGAAATCAATCATGTTGGTCATGTTGACTGTTCCAGTAGCACTGTCTCTTCTATGTGCTCAGAAACGTGCTCCAAGAAACTCACTCCAAGATTTCCCCAGGAACTACAACGAATCTGGCAGGCAGTTAATTCCCCAAGTCATCTTTACAGTCCTTCCTGAGAGTGGGTGCAATGCATTCCTTTTTGCAGTCATGATCATCAGTCAGTCCTGATCTCCATGACAGTTCCAAGATGACAGAGACCAACATTGCAAGGATGTCAGCCAGCATACTCAGCACTCTTGGATGCAGCCCATCTGATCCAATGGACTTGCATGACTTGAGTTTGCTCAAGTTATTCCTGAGTTTATCCAGTGCTCCTTTAGTGCTGTTTTTCTCTTCCTTGAATCCTGTCTATGGACCTCTGTGTGAAGACTGATGCAGTGAAGATACTGTATACCTCAGTATTTAGGAGGAAATACTTCACTCAGAGGGTGGTGAGACACTGGATGAGGTTGCCCGGGGAGGTTGTGGATGCTCCATCCCTGGAGGCAATCAAGAGCAGGTTGGATGAGGCTCTGCACAACCTGATGTAGTGGAAGGTATCCCTGCCCATGGCAGGATGGTTGGAATTAAATGATCTTCAAGGTCTTTTCCAACCCTAGCCATTTTCTGTGATGATCCATTCCATTATTACCCATGTCTGCTGTTACAAACTCATCATCCAAATTCAGCATTGGGCCTGTGTTTTCCATCTTCAGCTTTTTCTGCTAATGTTTCAGTGTAGAAGTTCTTCATGTTGCCCTTGATGTCCCTAGAACATCTTAACTCCAAGTTAGGCTTTCCAAACACTATATCTGCATTTCCTGAGTGGTGTTTCTTCATAGCCTATCCCTTCTTCCACCTCCTGTATACTGTCTTTTTCTGCATTGGAGCTTCACCACAAGACCAGTTCCACCTGAGCTGCTCACCTGATAAATTTAACAGTTTTCCTGAGCATTGAGATGAATCATTCTTGATCTTGAAGAATCATTCTTGATCTTGGAGAATGCTGCCCTTAAATACCTTCCAGATTTCCTGAGGTTCTTTACCTCTCAAAGCTGCCTCCTCCCACTTTCTAGTTCCATGAGCATGCCAAAAGTTGTTATTTTACCCTTAAGGTCTGTCCTCTGCTAACTATTCATCTTTATTCCCTTCAGAATCTTAAACACCACTCTTTTCATGGTTGTTATGGTTAGTGATACCATCTGTGAATAGATGATTCAGCTGTGCATCATCCATTGTTTGCCCATCCATTACTGGTGTCAGAAAGCTATTCCTGACACCCTGTAGAAATCTGCTTGATTGCTTGCGTCCCACTGCGTTTTCTTTCCATAAGATAGCCACGGATAGCAAAACTCTGCCCTTTTTAACACCACTGCCACCAACCACCTACCTGCCCCTGGTTAGAATTGGTATTTGTTATCCAGCGACTTCCTTCAGTTATTTAAAGACTTTGCTTATTTCATCCTGATAGAGTGGTCTGAAGCATATACTCGCCATGATACTGTGCATTCCTTAGAAGAGCTCCTATAACATAGAGGGCAACCCTCCCCTTTTTATTCCATGACTGGATCATACTCCTGAAGAACTTGTGTCCATCCATTGTAGCACTTCAGTCTTGTAACTTTCACCAGCACATCTCTATTACTCCAACCGTATTATAGTTTTGATTTCATGTTGACCTCGAGTTGTTGCTAATCAATCTTTTTCCAGTAATAGTGATTGGCACCCTTTGTTAATGGGAAAGAAAGAGAGGAAAAAAAAACATAATGATCTGTTAGAAAAGAGTGGTGCAGTCCACAAGAGATGCCTAAATGTGAAGAGTTGCATGATGTTTTCTCTTTTGTTTGTTCCTGATACAATAATTAGAATCTTTATTTGCAGGCTAGCAAACCTGAAAAAGTGTTGCCTGTCAATTCCTTGAAGCTTTATCTTGGAGTGAAAAAGAAAATGAAGCCACCAACCAAGTAAGAATAGAAAAGAAAATAAGTTAAATACTGTCTAGAGAGGTACTGTAGTGTATTTGTGAAAGGGGAACATAAAACACTGTGGAACAGGAAAAAGTCAAGAAGCCAATTGAAGTATGCTGTATTAAATTACCCTCCATAATATTATTTGTTCTGTTGCTATCTCTGTTCTTGTCTTCTATGTTAACTCTTCTGTGCTAGGAAATTACTTTATTGATTGGCTTTTCTTAATCTTAAGTGTATTATCTCTTGTGGATATATTTGCTGCTAGCTCACTTAGTTTTGTAGTATGTGTCCTGCATTTCATTGTACACACATTCTTTGCACCAAGAAAAAAAGAAAACCAACTAGTTGTGGCCTTTAGTGACGGTCACTGTTGTTTAGTACAGAATTTCATTTTTTCAAGATCCTTGTTATTTTGATACTTCTCCTTCCAAATGAAGACTACAGCGCCCTTTATAAACACCATTGATGATGTCTCTGGAAAAGAGGAGTGAAAAATGACACCTATTTTTCTCAGATGGTTCCAGTACTTACTCAGTCAAAGCCTTGAGACACTGAGACAATGTACATGAGGCCCTATCTGAGGGGACTCTAAGCAGACTGTAGATTTTAAGCAGATCTGTTGAACTTCACAGCAGGCATTTCAAAATGCCCCCAAAATGACTGCCCCAAATTTCAGAGTCTGAGTGTTGTCTTCTTCTTGAATTCTAGCAGGCTCGGTGCTGTGACCACTGCCCTGGGGAGCCTGTCCCAGTGCCCAACCACCCTCTGGGTGCAGAACCTTTCCCTAACCCCCAGCCTGACCCTCCCCTATCCCAGCTCCATGCCATTCCCTTGTGTCCTGTCGCTGTCCCAAGAGAGCAGAGCTTAGCACCTGCCCCTCTGCTCCTCTCGTGAGGAAGCCACCATGAGGCCTCCCCTCGGTCTTCTCTGCTTGGGACTGAACAAACCAGGGGACTTGAGCCACTCGTCATATGTCTTCCGCTCTAGAAACAGAAGTAACTTCCACTCACCATCTTTGTAGCCCTCCTTTGGACAGTCTCTAATAGTTTTTCTCTTTTTTTTAATCCTTATTATACTGGGGTGCCCAAAACTGCACACAGTAGATGACGTGAGGCTGCAGCAGCACAGAGTATAGTAGGACAATCACTTCACCATCAAACCCACAATTTCATTTAGATTTACAGTATATTCTGAAACTTTGTAAAAACAAAATTTAATAAAAATGCTATATAATTGATTACTGTGCTTTGAGGAAAATGTCCCTGTCTTGAGTTTCTGGAACTAATTTTTGAATTTTTTTTTCAGCTGGGGAATTGCAGTGTTTTCTGAAAAGCACCAGTGGTATGTAGACATGAGATACATCTGACTGGTTTAACTTCAGTGTTTAGTGTTTCTTGAAATGTTCGATTTCAAAATAATATTCACTAGTTTTAAAGCATTATTTTGCTTAAGCATCGACATTTTGTTACATTTTTCTTATTATGTAAGAAATCACAGTTGATATGTTTTGGTAGTCTTTTGGGGGTTAGGTGTCTGTCTCCTTTCTGTGACCTTAAATCAGCAAACAGTTTTAAAATATATCATTCTAAATTTATGAAATCTTGCTTTAAACTAAGCAGATGCATTCTCTTCAAATAGAGTAAAGTGATAATTTGAGTTATTAATTATTTCCTATCTTTTTACGGGAGTGTTAATAATAAACATTGACAGAATTAATAAATAAATGAAAGTACTGTTTATAATTTTTAGAAATATTCTTTAATATGTGTAGACGCAACATGATTTTTGTGTTTGTGTGTTGCATTCTAGGCATATATGTTGTGATGGACAGGATACGCAGATGGAGTGGATGATCAGCATTTTTACTGCACAGGTACTAATCTGATCAAATACAAGAAATGCGATTTTTACTGTTATGAAAATACTGTTTAACAGTCATATGAATTTGTTATACCTGTGTTACAGATAAAGTGGAAATACCATTAAGGTGTTTGGAGTACTCAGTGTAATAAAACTGCAAAAAAAGATGGTCTTAGTCTACGAAGATTGTGTATAATCACATTTTCATATGAAAGCTGAGCCCTTTGGAAATAAGTGAGGAGAATGTTGCATTATATTCTGGCATCTTTTTTTTTTTTTCCTGCTGTTTACTACGGGAGCTGGTTAAAGAAAGACAAGTCATTTCCTTTGTAGCAGTAATCCTCTTTGAGGTGAAATTCTGGCTGGTGACCCAAAGGGTATATCTGTATCCCACAATGCCTGAGTGCTCTTTTTCTGCTTGCTACTTTGAATGTTGCATGCAAGGTAGTCATCAACATAGGTTCCCTGTTTTAACGCACAGCGGTGAGAACAATCCTTGTTGGAGAGCTGTGCCAACACAGCCATGTTACTCTGGTATCCAAGTTAGCTTAGTTAACACCAGATAGGCACTATCTTAAATTAAGTAATCTTCTGCTTGTTACTAGATTGTGAATAGGAAGGGTGTAAGCTTAAGTGCCATGAAGGAAAGATAGGTCAGTTGCACAATTCAGCCTGACAGGAGGCTGGAGCAGACTTTAAGGGTTTAGAAGGATTTTGCATTTGTGTCTGATATATTCTTGTCTTACCGGTGGCATTCAAGGAACTTTGAGGGATATCGCTGAATAAACATCGCTAGATTTATGGCTATCTGTGAGCTTTACATATTACATAAAGTGGGCTAGACACAGGGCTGTTGCAATGCATACTTAGTGTAGAATTTTTTAAACAGAATCTGTATCTTTGACCTTCATAGATAGTACTGCCAGAAGTATAATGCATGCCTTGTAGGTAAGACTTCCAAATTTTTGTCTTATTCAGCTCCCTTAACTGAAGTAACTATTGTAGTTTCTATGGAAACAGCCACCAGTTCTGGCATGTATCTCATGGGCATAACATGAACAGTGTCATGACAAATAGGCTTAAAGTTTATTGATATAGGCTACATAGGAATAACTCATACAAGCTTTGTAACTCTGAAAGCCTTTTGACGTGAAATAACAAGAAAGGCAATTGATTAAGATTCTGATCAGGTAGTGTGGTATGTAGAATATTCCTCTGACAATATAGATCAAAAGCTGAGAAATGGTGATCAATGTTCAGCAGATTTCTAAAAACAACAACAAAAAAATCTTTTCATATGCCTTTAAAAAGAAAAAAAAATCTGAATTAATATTGTTGTTTTTTTCAAAAACTTCATTCCCTTGAGGCCAATGAATTAACACTACTAATAAACTACATTGGGATTTTTTTTATTCAGCATTCTGGACATCAGTAAAAGGTATCAGACCTTTAAGTTACTTCAGAAATTACGTGCTAGTGAAGCCAGTTTGCTGTATTTTTCTTATTACAATGTAGCGCTTAAAATTTACAGTGAAAATCTGTCCTTGAGAATGTAACAGCTCATGTTGCTAACGCTTACTGTAAGATCTCCAAATGTTTTGTATCATATGGCACCACACAATTATTATCATGTTATCCCCTTTCTAAACTAGAAAACTGTAGATGTCAACTGAGGCTATTATTTCTAGTTAAAATTTTTAAAGTGAGGCCATCTTTAGGAAAGATAGCTTTCTTTTACCTTATCCATTATAACAGTATTTTAAACCTTTTGTGTCAGAGGCTGCAGGCACTACACTTTATTTATATCAGTAGAATAACTGAACTGAAATTACAAATTGAGAAATACTGTAAGGAATGTTTTGAAGTGGTAACACATTTACATTAAAATATCCAGTGCAATTAGGAGAGAGAAAAATGTTACCATGCTTAGAAATGCTTGACCAGAGCAGGACTTTATTGGTAATTAATAGCAGTCCTATTGTTTTTTCTCCTCTTCCTGATGTTTATTCCTATAGTAAAACAGTGCAGAGAATCAAAATGCCGAAGTTGTAAGTACCACTGCAATCTTTGATATATAAAGTCAAGTTAGCCCAGAGGTTATTCACCTTATACTTTAAGCTGGTAAATACTAAAAGGGTTTGAAGGACCACCATAGCTCCTTTCAGTGTTATACAGTCAGTCTGAAAAATACGGCTGAAACTTGATTCTTCAAGTGAATTTGTACTAAACTATTATAGAATTAATAACGTATATAACATACAATTGGAAACAATTAATTGACATAAAGATGGACACAATAGTATACTTCCAATTCCATTGCCTTTGATCAACTATAGATAGGTCAGTGTATTACCATATGGTGCAGTTGAGCAGATAGGTCAAAACTTATGAATAAATACATTTATTATGTGACCTAATAGTATTTCTGATGTATTTTCCCAGAGTTCTATTTTTAGAAATGTTACAGACACAAAAGAGAAATCAGGTTATGTAACAGACAAGGATAGTTTCCAGCATCTTGCTGAAAATTAAGGGAGGCACTTTCCTTGACATATTTGCTTAAAGCTTCTCAGTCACTTTCTGAATCACATTTGTTTTTTTATGTCTTGGTCCACAATAAATTGATTTTTGTTGGCAAGATCTGCGCTTTGAAATAAAACATTCTTAATGTTCCATTGGAAGAAAGATGAAATGTTCTTTATGTTCACCAGGTATAGCTCTTACAACAGACGTTTATATCACCCCAGTCAGTACCACTTGTGAGAATTTTTTTTTATTCCATAAAAATGTTCATCCATGAGATTTTTTTTTCTAAATAAGGAGCTGATAGGCCTCTATTTTAAGTTGCTGTTTTCAGTCAATAATCACTCATTCTGCTGGCTTATTAATAATAACATTGTTTTTACTGACAGGCTACCTGCAAGTATGATCACAGCTCCACAAATGGACTTTGTATATAGTATTGAAGCAATAGCATCTTAAGTCAAGGATGTGGGAGATCGAATAACATAAAAACAATAACTGACACTGAAGATTTTGACACCTATGAAAAGATAACTATTAAAAATTTGAACAGTGTGACTGAAGTTCTTAGATTGAAAGCAACCCGTGAAGATCATATAGTCCAATCCATTTGCTCAAAGCTAGAGAGCAGGGTGCTTAGGTCTTTGTCCAGTCAGATTTAAATAATTCCCGAGATGCACTCCACAACATCTTTGGGTAATTTATTCCAGTGTTTGTCCCATCTCACAGAAAAAATAAATAAATAAATTTGTGTGCTAGGAAAAGAAATGCTAGTTCTAATGCTTTGGATTAGACTTTTGCTAATATTTACCCAAAACATTCTCAGCTTTCATTAAGTTTCTTTTGTTGTATTTGTGGCTTGCCATTTCCTTTGGGGTTTTGCAGATTTAGCTTTTTGTGCACTCATTTCCAAGCTTTAGTAACTATTCTTCTCTAGGCTTCATACATCCTCTCTGATTTGTAGAATCTCATTTTGAAGGTTTTATTCAAAAAACACTCCTACTCTGCCTTACTCAGAACTTGTCTGTCAGGTTATCATTAACTTCACTGGGGGACTTGGTGAGCTTTGAGGACATATGCTCAAATTTCTACATGTGAAATTCTCATATATATAGGTTTCGTGCTGGTGAAAGTTCATTCTGGATATTTTGTATAAAGATTTTAACATTTTATTTGAAACCTTCAGTTAAGGATTTTTCTTTCTTTCTCTTCTCAGCCATGTTTTCCACTTAAAATGAAGATGCATACTTTGGAGTTACCTCCAAAATTGACCTGTTTTAGTAGAGCCAAAGCAAAGTCTATTACTGACAGCAATCTGTTTGTGTAGAGTATGTTTTTGGGACATTGAGAATGTCAAGCCATTTCATTTTGGATAGCACATGCAGTTATAGTAGAATAAGCAATGATTTTCTCCTAAATTATTGATATAAATGTTTAAACACCCTTGCAAATTGAGATGGTTTCATTTCAGAATTTTTACAGTCTCTTCTGAAAGCATGTTTTTATGGAATTTAAAAATTATGAAACAGATGTACGTGTTTGTCTACTTTCTATTCCTAGTAGATAATTGTATTGATATATAATGTGGAGAAAAGATGAAAATACATGAAAATTGTATAGAGACAATTTGTTTCTGTTCATTCAGCATTGTGCAGCATTTACAAGCTATTAATTTAATCTTAGGCACCATACATCTTGCCCCCTTCTCACATGAGACAAATCAGGTGGTGCAGAAGATGGCTCTTCCAAGACAGTTTTATATGTTGTGTTTTTATGAAACTGCACTCCAAAAGCAAGGATTTTTTTTTTGTTTTGTTCTTCAGCATGCCGATATATGGCCGCCTGCTGGAAAAGCAAGAAAACAGTCCATAACTAAAAGTCCAAAGATTGGAGGCTTACCACTAATTCCCATTCAACAGGAGAACACCACCTGTAAAATCAGAGGGAGTATAGAAGTAAGTGGGATTTAAAGTTGATGTGGAATTTCTAATGACGATGCTATATTTCTGAATAGTCCAATAATAATGAACTCTCTAGAGCTGGATAAAAGTAAAATATAGGTGCTCTTATTGTCAATGTCCTTTTCATTCTCTAGTCATTAAAGGAACAGTTAGGACAACATAATGCTAAAAAAATAAAATGTTTGTGACCTAATCTTGTGTCAGCTCTTTGGTTGGTCAATAAATCAATAGTGGATTTCTATTTGTTTATTTGTTGAGCAAGGATTTCTCATTAGAAGTAAATAGGACTTTTACCCGGTAATATACTGCATGTTATTACAGTTTTATGATAATAATGCCCTTGAAAACTGTCCTTCCTATATATTTTATCATATCTTCTCTCTGAAGTAACTATTCAGTATTAGTTATCTGCTCTGTGAATGTAATGGGAAAGCTCAGATGGAACTAACTGTGATATATTTAAGCTGTAATATTTTTAGTCTCAAAGAACAAGGTCGGGGTTTAGATGCAACTCTTTGTGGAGACTGACTACACTATGCTATGTGCACTGATAATATGTCTCAACCTCATCATATTAGCTTAAGATGAGTTTCTGCCATCTGCATAGAGGTACAGGTGCCTATGGGGAGAATTGACTTGCCTTACTTTTATCTCAGAAGAAGCAGTCATAGTGGAGGCACAGGACTGGTTAAACTAATGGTAAAGATTCTGAATGCAAAGAGAAGGATTATTGAAAGAACACCTTGGACTGTATGCAATATGAGTTCTTGCATGTTTTGATAAGATTATGACAGGAGATAAATTATGTGGAACGTTATCACTATTTAGAGACTGAGATTGGTAAAGTTGACTTGGTTCCATAACAAACCAAAAGCAAAGGTAGGAGCAATACTACGTTTGTAGAAGCTTTATCTACAAGCAATTCCATCTTTGTGTCTTCTTTTGTTATGCTTTCTTCATGCATTTCTTTTCTTCCTTACCAAAGAATTATAACACAATGTAATTGCAGTTATCATTTTCCTCTTTAAATTTGTCGTTTCATTTTAGTATTTTCTCAGAAAACACTTTTGCAACTCTTTGATAAATTTCTTTTAATGTTTGCATTTTTAAACTTTTTTAATGAAAGGAAATTACAGGTCATGTCATTCAATAAACTTCAAAACCCTTAGGTATGTTTCTTAGCTCTCCTGTATTCTTGATTTTAGATGCAGAATCTGTGATAGGCTGTTTGTGATACCTACAAATCCAGACCTTCTAGGATAGAGGTTTTAATGGATTTCGAGCTTCAGTATTTTAAATCCTTAATACCTTACAGTACCAGCAAGATTTTTTATTTTTATTTTTTTGTTGTGCTTCATTAGCAAGGACTACAATGTTTTCTACAGTGCAGCTTAGAGGAAGCCTGCATTTAATTGTGAAAATAAAAAATCTCAGTTTTCATTAATTATTATCATTTTGGTATTTATGACTAGAACTTGGCAATGTTTATACAAAGGGTGATGGCATACCTTAAGAAGGTTAACACCAAATTATATAATAGAAAAAGAAAAATAACACTTTTTACATGGAATGTCAAAATTGGAATGAACTGTTAAAGACAGTTAGAAAGTGAGTATAAGACGTGGTTGATTAAGGCGAAATACCGTCAGCAGTGTAGTTAGTAAAGCAATATATATATCATTTTGTAGACCACAACTTCAGTCTTCCACAGATTCGTAATGCTTGTCCAATATGCAAAAATACTATCATTTAGAGCATTAAATATGAATAACAGTAGCAAGCACTTTCAGGAGGATGCTGGTTTATGAAAAATCAAGGTCTGTTCACATGATAGTGTGTAAACTTGCAGTGGAAACGTGATTTAATTTGTCTTCATGTAGGCAGGGAAAGTGACCCAAAGTTTTCCAGACAGTGAAAGAAGTGATGTCTTTGTGATGTAAAGATGGATGGGATCTTTGGGACCCGCAAATATACCCAGACATCAACAAGTTTAAAATCAATGTCCTGTGCTAAAATGGCTGTATAGCATCTTTCTTTTTTTTTTTTCCACTGATATTTATTGGAAGTAGTTTTATCATGTGATAACATAAAAATATAATACAGAACATTTGAAAATGCTTGTATAACTAAGAATTCTCCTAATAATAATTAGGATCAGAAGACTTCTGTATCTTTTCCTATACTTGTTGCATACCTGAGAAGTAGTCCTTTTAAAATATGTATATTCCTCAAGGATCTTTTAACTGAAATTGCAATACATGGCAGTATATCTGCAGTAAAGCTGTATAGCTTTGTTTCAAAATACAGGAAGACTGAAGATACAAAGAAAAACTTTTTTCTGACTTAGAATAAGTTATACCTGTGTAGAGTTTTGAAAGAAACAGGACTTCATAGGGCTAATCTATATGAATAGATTTATTCCATGTCTTTTGCTGATAAGTGCAGTAAAAAGAATTGTTAGATGTACATATTATCAATTTGTTCACTAAGCTGATTAAGGATCAGAAATTTAGAGGCAAAATGGTTTCTTCTACCTTGAAATAGTTGTTTTTTACATTAGGAGCTACTGGGAAAAGAGAATGGGATCCAACAGTGTAATAATTTACAGTATGTCACTACCAGTAGGCAGTGGATCCAACTATAAAGAAATAATAAGAAATTTCATGTGACAGTTTTGTTTGTAAATCATTTTGATAAGGGAAAGTGTTACTGTTAGTGCTCTAATTTGAGCAACAGAATTTGACTCCATCAGTTTAATATTTTAATAACATGCATATCTGGGCATTAGAATTCCTGCATATACTGAATATACTTTAAAAACACCAAATGCTGAATCTATATTAATTGGCTACCTGCCAATATACACGACTATTTCAGAAAACTAAGCATCCTTTAAATTTGAGAGCTGTATTTGATCTGTTCCTGCTTCCATTTTATAAATCTTTCTTTGGGAAACAGGGTTAAAAAAAAAAAAAAAGGGCTCCTGCTATACCCAGATTAGAAAGAGAATTATTTCAGAAGTATAGTCAGTGCTTTTCTTCTTAGAATAAGCAAAATCGAAACATGATGTACAAAAGTCTGTAAATAGAAAATTGTTGCTCTTGATTGAACTTCAAGACAAATTTATATCTTAGTTTGCTAAGTAACAGTAGACAGCTTGGATCATGTTACTGTTTTTTTGAAAGGTACTGCATGACAGTTTACATTTCTCACATTTTACATTTCACATACTATGTATATATTATCACAGATATTAATATAAATATTTTATTAATTGAACTTGAATCACCGACAAATGCTAATCTCACTGCTTTCTTGTTCATGCAAGTTACAAAAATATTTTAAATGGAAAATGATGACTTTTTTCAAACATTTAGCAGGACAGAACTCTCTGCATTCATGAGACATTAGGATGGTTTCTCATGTGTCTTGAAAATTTTTTTCACTGAATGTAGATGAACATATTAAACCTTAAGATACTGCTTGCTGGCCTAAATAGTAGCAGGTGATTCTCAATTGATAACAATTGTTGCTGATGTCAGTAAAATTTAAAGTTTCCAGGCAAGCTAAAGGTCTGCTCTATAGCATGCAGTGATGGTAATCCATGTAGCAGTATGAACGTTTGTGTGCGTTATTGTTCTGGGACTTTTTTTTTTTCATGTCCAGGCCACCGATGCCTTGTTGTTAATGTTCAGTTTTCATTCTCAGTGACTGCAAATAAAAATACCGTTCTCCTTAATGCTAAAAATGATATGGTAATATGGAGGGAAAAAAACACACCTTTATCCGGTCTTTTTTAAAAGCTGTGATTTTATATCATCCAAATATTTGCTTTATTATTGAATAGATGTGAACTCAAGTGAGCTACCAAGACTGCACAAATAGAGCTGTTGTATAGCTTAGATTTCTTTAATGGAAACATTTAATATTTACTGTATTCCTTCTTACACAACACCTAAATTGCTGTATAAACACACATTTGGTGTCATTATGAAGAAACAAATGTGGCCTTAAAGCAAATAAGACAAATAAGAATGGTAGGGAAACCTATTTATTACATCTGCTCAGATGGTGTGGCAGTAGGCAGATCATTGCATTTGTGGAATAGCCTTATAGTTGTAGGGGAAACCGAGGTCTTGGAATTCTTTGTCTTTCATGTGTGACATCTTTGACTACTAAGAAGACGAACAGAGCTAAGGGAAACTTACTAAGGGAAATTTGTGTTTTTTGTTTTTTGTTTTTTTGGTTTTTTTTCTGTCTTTCTTGTGTGGCTCTTCTGTTTGGCTGGATTTTTGTAGAGTTATTCATGCATAGCATATGAGCAAATTGTCTCTCATGGAATCTTGAGACCTCATAATGGTCTTGAGACCATATTAAAGCAACCATGAAAAATAATATTGAAATACTTTGAAAAATTTTTTTTATTGAAATAGAGGGCAGATGATTTAGGTACATCTGCATGAGTTAGGATTAGGAGGGCACTTTAGGAGCAAATCTTCTAGTTGTTCCATCTACTGTGTTTTGTTTTGTATTATGAACTGGTTCTGGACCATGTGAACTTGGATTGCTTTCAGATGAAACTGAAGTGGAAGATGATATGAGATTGTATCAAACAGACAGGCCTTCTGCTAGTAGGCCTGCTAAATTTTGTCTCAATTGTGTTTAAAAATAAATAAATAAATGAAATAGTATGGATGTCAGGTTTCTTAGCACTCTTTCACTGTACAAATGTACTCCTAATGGGCCACACTATCTGCAATTTTTTTCTGTAGCATTTGATTTCCCTCTCATTTCTGACAACTTAAGAACTTGAAAATAGCCTGCTGCAATAGAACAGCTGTATTGCCATCAGTTTGTTCTTTGAGTTACAAGTATGTTACTTAAAATTGCTAGTCAAAATTTGAAAAAACAGACAGCCTTTGTAATTTGCCAAGTACTGCTGAGCAGATGCTGAAAATATTTGTGTAATGTATGTCTATGTAATGTAAATGTTTATGTAAAACTGTATTTTGCACATTTATGTAGCTCAGACATCAAGTTATCATAATTGCAACAGTTTCCAGTCATATTTATCTAGTTTCTAAGTATTCTGAGAGGTTGTTAAGAGTATATGGATCTGCTGTAAAACATTAACATTTAATCTATGGTAGGGTAAAAAATCAAGTTGTGAATATATGAAAACGAATGTCTTCAATTCACTGTGTTTAATTGGAAGATTTATGTAATTTTCAGAAGTATCACTAATTGAGAGAATATACTTACTCAAAATGCTTACTAAATGATAACAGCACAAGTTGTGGGAATTTAGAACTATTTATTGTGCTGTCTCAGCTCTTGAGTAAAATTGATTCTTTAAAGTGTTATGTGAAGCCAAGAAGCAAAAACTGCAATTTAAATATTATTGAATATTGTGTTAATGTGAATAATCCTATTTCTCTTTGCTTGTTTGCTCAGAATATACAGCTGGGATTGGGGAAACCGAAACTCAGTGATCATAATGAAGATGACTTACTGGAAGAAAGAAAAAACTTGAAAGAAAAGGCATCTATTGTGGCACAATGTTTGGAACGCAAGGAAGAGAAAGTGCGTAATCATGCTAAAGCACATCGGAGCTTTATCTCTGAGGATATAGGTGTGGGAAAGACTGACCTATGCCAAAGACCACATAAGCCACTGAAAAAAAATAAGAACAAAACAAACAAAACTGCATTGGAATTAGATAAAAAATTGCCATCAAATGTGATTCAGGAACTAAATACAGTGTTGCAGAAGAACAGAGCACTTCATGATGAAACCTCCAGCTGATGTCCTAAGTTTGAAGTTTAGAATGTATATATTTTCTGGGCAAAAGTAGGGTTTTTGATGTATGTAGTTTGTACAGTGCAGAGAATTTAATTTGTTTATATGCAGCTCTTGATTTTGTATATACGTATGCTACGGTATAATTTAAGATTGAACTCAGAGAAATGATCGTGCAAAAGTCCTGATATTTGGAAGTTTTGCTGTGCAGTGCAATGGCACTTGTGTTTTATCAATTGTTTTTTTGTTGAAGGTTCTGTTAGATGCAAGAATTCTAATCACTATCAAAAACTTTTGCTCTGTTTGTACTCCATACCATCTTGTAAGTACTGGAGAGAAATTTTTGGAATGAAGACAAGACATACACTGAAATTCATCCTGTTGGTCTGCAATATTTTAGTTGTCTAACACTATAAAAAATGAGTTAACATCTGCTTTGAAGAGTGATTTTTCACACGTAATTTTTTTAAAATTCAAGAATACAATGAGTAACTGGTACCAGAGACTTGTCCTCTGACAGAGCAGCATGTGAAAGAATCAAAGAGAAGGGATATAATAGGTAAGATAATGTATTAGTCCTTGTATCTCAAAACTACAACTATAGGGTATACATACAACTGTGATACCTAAGTAACCAGAGAATGTTTTGGATTGGAAGGAACCTTAAAGATCATCTAATTCCAAGTTCCCTGTCATGGGTAGGACCAGGTTGCTCAAAGCTCCATCCAACCTGGCCTTGAACACTTCGAGGAATGGGGCATCCACAGCTTCTCTGGGCAATGTGTTCCAGTGCCTCACCACCCTCAGAGTAAAGAATTCCTTCCTACTACCTAATCTAAATCAACCCTGTTTTAGTTTAAAGCCATTACTCGTTGTGCTATCACTACACTCCCTGATAGATTCCATCTCCTGCTGTCTTGTAGGCCCCCTTTAGGTACTAGAAAACTGCTATAAGGTCTCCCTGGATCCTTCTTTAGGCTGAACAACCCCAGCTCCCTCAGCCTGTCTTCGTATAAGAGGTGCTCCAGCCCTTTGATCATCTTTGTGGCTCTCCTCTGGACTTGTTCTAATACTTCCATGTCCTCATTGTGCTGGGGGCCCCAGAGCTGAACACAGTACTCCAGGTGGGGTCTCACAAGAGCAGAGTAGACAGGTAGACCTTGACCTGCTGGCCACACCTCTTTTGGTGCAGCCAAGGATACTGGGACTGGCTTTCTGGGCTACAGACGCATATTGACAGCTCATGCTGAGCTTTTCATCAACCAGCACTGCCCAGGTCCTTTTCCTCTGGGCTGTCCTCAATCCGTTCTCTTCACAGCCTTGTACTTGTGTTTGTGGATGCCCTAACTCAGGTGCAGGACCTTGCCCTTGGCCTTGTTGAACTTCACATGAAGTTCAGAGGCCTGCCTGTCAAGGTCCCTCTGGATAGCATCCCTCCCTCCAGAGCGCTGACTGCACCACACAGCTTGGTATCATTGTCAAAGTTGCTGAGGGTGCACTCCATCCCGTTGTCCATATCACTGACAAAGATGTTAAACTGTGTTGGTCCCAGTACTGACCCCTGAGGAAACACTACTTTTTGCTGATATCCACCTGGACATTGAGCCATTGACCACAACTCTTCGAGTGCAGCCATCTAGTCAATTTCTTACTGAGAGGTCCATCTGTCAAATCCATGTCTCTCCAACTTAGAGACAATGATATCATGTGGGACAGTGTCAAATGCTTTGCACAAGTCCAGGTAGATTATGTCAGTTGCTGTTCTCCTATCCACTAATTCTGTAACCCTATCATAGAAGGCCACCCAATTTGTCAGGCATGATCTGCCCTTAGTATCACCTCCTTATTTTCCATGTGCCTTAGTATCGTTTCCAGGAGGATCTGCTTCATGAGCTTGCCAGGCACAGAGGTGGGACTGACTGGCCTGGAGTTCCCTGAATCTTCTATTTTTCCCCTTTTTAAAAGTGGGGTTATGTTTTCTGCCTTCCAGCCAGTGGGAACTTCACTAGACTGCTATGATTTCTCAAATATGATGGGTAGTAGCTTAGCAATTATATCCTCTAGTTCCCTGAGGACTTGTGGATGTCCAACTTTAGGTTCCTTAAGATGGTCTTGAACTTGGTCTTCTCCTACAGCAGGCAGGTCATTCTTCTAGTACTTGCCTTTGCCTTCTGAGGCTTGGTCTTTGTGGCTAGAACACTTGAAGACGTGCCAGTGGAGACTGAGACAAAAAATTGAGTAGCTCAGCCTTCTCCCTGTCATAGGTACCCTGCTGTCCCTTTTCCTTCTCGAGAGGACCTACAATTTCCCTGGTTTTCCTTTTATCATTGATGCACCTATGTTGCTGTCCTTGATGTCCCTAGCCAAATTGAATTCTAATATGGCTTTAATGAGAAAGAATACTGAAGATAACAAGAAGTTGCCTTTGGAATAACGTCTAATTTAAAAATATGAATTGGAAAAATAGCATCATCTCTTTTTGGTCTACAGGCTGATAGAATTTTATAAACAAACCCTGGTTAGCTCTGGGTGACAAAGGCAGGCTTTGCTATCACTGCTTGGATGTAGCTTGCTTGGTGCTGACAAAGCTGGCATCTGATCAATATTTAATAGTCCCATGAGAAATGAGTTTCCTCAAGAGAAATTGGTCCCCACACAAGCATATCCATCAGAAGGGCACTCACTCAGTTAAGAAGTGCCAGTTACTAAATGGGTAAGATCAACCTCTCCCTTTACTATGAGGTCAAAGGTGAACAGTATGCTGTTAGCAGGGACTAGGAAACACTTGTGCTCTAGCTGATGTGCTACCCTGCAGGTACTTGCTTAGATTTTTATGCCCAGAGTTCCTTAAATTAAAAAATCAAAATCTGTCTTCAAAACAAAACCTACGTGAGCACTGAAATGGTTTGGTTTTCTTCACTTGTTGTGTGGATCTCACCTTTGCTTCTCTCATAGGATTGTCTCCTTCCTCTCTTATGGTGCTATATCTCAGGTTTTGCTTAGTCCCATAGCAGCTGGATGGGCCAGAGGCACTGCTGTGCCTGGTTCCAGGTGTGTCAGATGCTGTCTAGTTAGCAGGACCAGAGGACTACTGAGCTCCCACTGCACCTTGTCCTTATGGAAGGCATTGATAGCAGCATCTGCTTTACTTTGCTACTGCTACTACTTTTCATGATCTAATTAGCCACTCTGCCATGGAATTTCACCAGTCTTTTAAGAACTTACTGACACCTCTAATTGTCCTCAAGTTTGATTGGGGTTTACCAAACCTCTTAGGGTAGACCAGAGATTCTTAACCTACTTATTTCATTGTAAATTATTTAGAATTGGTTTTTAATTCCTAAAATTTTGGAGGGATAAAATATATTTTATCAACAATGACACTTTATTTTTATTCAAAGTTACTTTGGAGGATGCTTTATGTTCCTACTGTTTGTTTTTTTGTTTGTTTGTTTGTTTGTTTGTTTTGGTTTTGGTTGGTTGGTTTGTGTGTTTTCTGTATAGAATCAACATATTCTCCCATATTCCCTTTTCTGGTTTTGGTAGTCACAGGTGCTGTAACGTTTCTCACATCAGTTACTTCCATTCTTGATTGCATTGAACAGCTTAATTGGAAAAATAATTTGTTTGAGGATATTAGACAAATTACTCAAATAATGTATCTGGCAAATCTGCTAGTAAGTACAGCAGAAGTAAGATCAAAACTAGATGTTTTATAGTGTCTAGTATTTATTCTTCTGGCATGTAGCACTGAGAAAGCAAGTTTAGTCTTTCAGACTTTGCACTTACTGCATTTGACCAGTTGTTAAATTTGAAACGAGTTTGTGCATTTTAATTTTCCCAGTGCACTATTGACTGTTTTGCTACTTCTAATTTGTAATCGAGTCTCTTCTAATCATTGAGGCCCTGGCTCAAGAAAGCATATAAGCCAAAACTTAACCTGTATTGACTGAAGCTTGGGCTTAATGTTAATAAGCACATTCTTAAATGCCGATTTGAATCAGGGCCTAATGCCGTCAGGAGGTTACTTTACTTTGTGTCTGAGACTGGACCTGAACTTACTGTTTACAGTTGTACTTTTATTTGCAAATATTTTTCAGTATTGAGTTATGGTTGCTGTATTGTTTATCTTTTTATTGGGTCCTTAAAAATGACATTCACCTCACTGCTGAAAGCCTCATGCATCATTTAAGCCCTACGCTAATGGAATAAATGGAGCAATGGAAGGGTTTTGTGCGTTGGAGTGAAAATGTCCGTGAAGAGAATGTTTTGTATATTTTTATTGAATCTAAGAACTAAAGAAACATTTGTTCTATTTCAAAAGCAGACCTCAGAAAAAGTGTCTGCATGGCTGCTGTTAAAGGGCCCTGAAAATCAAGAAGAGAAGGTGTTTACTAAAATACGTTGAAATGTTTACTTTTCAATTACAGCTATGCTGTCTTCAAGGCTGTTGAATCCTCAGTGGAAATATAGTTTTTAATAGCTCCTACACATATTTGGTTTGGATGTGTAAATCTGCGTACACTCTCACTATGTATGTATTTGTGTGCATACAGTCAGGTGTGTATCCACAGAAGTGAGCCAAACACTGACAGTGTTAACCCAAGGAATATTGCTTTGGGAAAGTATAAATTAAATTTGCAATGGAGTATTTCAAATAGGAATCAAAATTTTGCACCGGTTACCTGACATATCATTCTTGCACTACGCATTTCAGACTGATTCAAGACCTGTAGAATAAATGTGTTTTGTGGCAATACCTTGATGGCTGCTGATCTTTTATTGGTTTTGTGCCATATTGAGGAATAGTAAAGGAAGTATAATTTTCAGAGAATAAATGCTAATTATTTGAATAAATGCTATTTCTGTAAAATAGGTGATGGATTTTTTTTTTCAGAAAAAAAATAAATATTTTTTGTTAAATAAAAAAAGACTTCTGTATGTGTTTCCATAACAAAGGAATTGAATAACCTGGCAAGTGTCTACTTTCCAATCTGCAAAATGAGGCTAAATGAAGCACAGATTTTGTTTATTCTATAACAGTGGGAAGGCTAGGATAAAAAATCTCAGTAAATCTCAGGTTCATCATTACTTCATTAGATATCTGCAGCAATTGCAAATGTAAAGCTAACAGGTAAGCTTGTCTTACATTGTTTGTTTCAACATAATGCCTGTTTGTGTTTTTTTGTTGTTGTTGTTTTGTTTTTCACATTTATACAAAAAAAAATAAATAAATAATTATATACCTTCACCTTTAGTTGAGCTGAGTATCAGCTACTATTTTGGAATTTTCCTTTGAACCGGACCTTCCCAGGTACTATTTTGGGCTACCAGTTCAAAAGAGCCGTTTCAATTGGTTCTGTGTCTCAACAGAGATTACTTGAGTGTGGAGTTAATTTGACTAGCTGAGATGTACAGAGAAATTTGTGTATATCCCAGAA